GCAACCATGGGTTCCGAGCTAAGTTACAAGTCCGCTATTCCATGTTATAGTAGTGTCTTGCAGATGTGTAACATGTGCCATGTTCCCTTTGAGGCTACATTGTGCCGGAGTACTACAAGTTTGACGGATACCTGTCCCCATCCCTGAACCTGAAGTTCACTGATGTGCCAAATGGCTTGAAGGCTTGCTGAGACAAAACATGGAATCAACGTAAGATTGTTTCCTGTGCAGGCACTCTCCGTTGTGCCCAAGGAGGGCTGGGCTCAGATGTTGGCCTTCGCTGGCTTCCTGGAGTTGGTTGTGAACAAGAAGTCGTCTGAGCCAGGCAGGAATTGGACAGTGTGGGAGTGCTTGTTGATCCTTGATTTTGCTGGCTTTGCAAGGCAACTACGGCAAGGGCAACTTTGGCCTGGGAAACGTTGGATTTGGCAACTCCATCCAGGATCCTGCCAAGAGGACTGCACACATATTCGATTTGTGCAAAGCGACTGCATGCTGGTCTGAGTCTGAGTCAGACAATTTGCAAGGAACAGGCAGCTCAGCGCCGAACTTGCAAACGGACGTTTGGCAATGATGGCCATCATTGGCATGCCTCTTGGGCAGCATAATGGATCCTCCTTCATAGAGAACTATTCACCGTTGGCTAGATTTTTGGACATGCTGGAAAGACTCGGTGCCCTGGTTTGTTTTTGTTTTGAGACTTGACATCCTCGCTTTTGCCGGCCTTGTTCAACTCACTTCAAGTGCACTTTCAAAGGTCCAAGTGGGACATGACCACCTTGATGTCGATGACGTTATCACATTTTCTAGGCACACCATATCTTATGACCTCCACAGGTCATGATTCCATGGCTGCGTTCTTCAACCTTTTCTGTAACCCCAGACCCACCGAGCCATTCTTGGGCTCTTCGACGGGCGACGGGCCAAGCGGGCGCAGTGCGCGCCTGACGTTTGAGGTTCTTCCAGGACGGCTTGACGGGCTCAGCCTGGGGTGATTGGTCGAACTACACCGACAGCCCTTTGAGGGCCTTCGAGACAGAGTTGGGCGCCACACGGCCTGAATTCGCTTCCTGCGGGTGAGAGTGGGGTTGGAGAGAATGAGAAGTGGTTGCCTTTATCAGAGAGCGAACGAAGTGTTAGATGGCTGTGGGTCATAGCACCAGAGTACCTCACGGTTGACCTGCCAACGATTCAGTCGTTCGCTACCTGGTGGACCAGCATACCCGGGCTGCCAGGGCAGGTGGGTCTTTTGGACCCGATGACGGTCACTCCGTTCCTCGCCTGTACTCGCCGGGCCGAGAAGGGACCAAAACCGTGCGGACCAGGATCGGCCACGGAACGACGTGGTCGGTGCCTGGTGAGCGGGTGGCGAAGATGTTGGAACCTGGTGATCAGATGTGATCATTTGGGGGCGACCTGTTCTAATGATAGGAGCAAAGTGTTCTGTTTGAGGCGTTCTGACGGAGCCAGTTTGGAGTGAGGTGCTGGGTGATGATTTCAACTACAATCCGCGACCCATTTATTGGTATCCTTGTTCGTATTTCTTCACGCACACACACACACACAGGGAAAACGGACTTCACATGGTCCATGTGTAGAGGAAGGTCTTTAAGATTTTTAAGGTCTACACTGTACACTCCCTGAAACAATCATGGTTACGTGGAAAACCTGCGATTTCTGGTCGAGGAACATGCACCCTTCTGGTCATCCTTTTGGGACCTGGTCTGCTGCGCTCCACGTCACCCATGCTGTCCCTGACCGGCGCTATGCGCCAAGCGTTGAGGTTCAGAAGCCCGTGGGCTTCTGGGACCCCTTGGGCTTTACCAAAGGCCCAAGTCGGGTCGAATGATGTCGGACGTCGGTTTGGTGGTTGTTCCTCTCGTGGGGAGGGGATGCTGGGTGAGGGGATGTGAGGGGAGAGATTGACAATGACCTTTTTGAGGGAAGATCCAGCTCAGTGCTGGGTTTCTGGAGAGTGGTTATCCAATTTTGATCAATATTGCATCAACCAAGTTGTACAACAAGGTCCGTGGTCCGTGAACAGGTCTGAGGGGTGCGCCATGGCTGGCTGAGATGTTCATTTGGGAAATAGCCCTTTGAAAGTGAAGCTGGTCTCTTGCCATTCCACGTTCCTGAAGGGCCTGGAAATATTTACCAGCATCCAATTGAACACCCTTCGATCTTCAAGGAGTTTTTCTTGTCTTTTGTGACCTGTCATGACGACTTAAGATGATCTCCAGGATGACTTCTGATGCCCCCCTTCTTGGAAATGGTTTGTTTGCTCCGGGGTCCCCCAACCGACGGAGTTTCCCGTTTCACCGACCGGAGGGAAACCCACCCTCCCCCCCTTGGGAGGCGGTGATGCGGAGAGCTTCCGCCGCCGTCGCTACGTGGAGCTGAAGCACGGACGCGTCGCTGGGACCGCGTCGAGAGTCCGGTGTGGAGCGGAAGAGGGGTGTGGAGAACGTCGAGACGTCAGAGAGGTCATGGGTGGAAGTGGAGACGTCGAATCTCAAAGGATATTAGGGGAACAACAAATACATCTATAAATACCGTGTTACTTATAGATGCATATTCAGAAGTTGAACAAACTTAATCACATCAAAAATAGAGTCTTCCAGAGAAGGTGCTGCCACTTCACTTCGTGATGGCGTTTTCTTTTAGGTGGCAGGTGTGTAAATGGGACCCTAGACTATTGGATTTTGAGTCTTGACCTTGATGGTATGAACCTGAACCCAAACAACTATCCATGGGAATCGATGGAAAGCAGGGTATGGGAATACCAAAAACGGCTGGTGCGACCAGTGCGGAATGAGGATCACTGAGATGAAAGGCATCTCTAGAAAGGCTTCATGTTACTCCCGTCAACCAGCCGTGCTTTCGCCCCCCCGGAGGTGCTCGGAGGTGCCTCTCTGTCACCCAAAACAGGGCGCCCGCTCGGAGGTCGCCATGTTCGCCTGCATGGGCTATATCGTCCCGGAGTTCTACCGCTGGCCCGGTGATTTGTCTCCTTCCTTGGGCTTGAAGTTCAGCGTCGCTGGGACCAATGAACAAAAAGGAAACCATTGTATACAACCCAGGAGTCACATGGAGTTGGGTGGTTCTGAGTCCCATCGGCCGTGGATGTGACAGGAACACCCCCATCCTCATCCATCCTCCAAGTTTGGCACCCCGTCTTGTGACTGCTGGAATATACAGTCCTATGAATCATGCTGGGTGGAACTTGGTGGTAGTTTCTTTTTCATGGAGATTCGCTGTCAACCCATGTCTCCAGGTCAAATGACCCAAAGTCAAATCCAGTCGATGTTGAATCAGATCCAAAATGGGTGCGTGGTGAGCAAAAATCGCGCAGTCGATGGACTGCGCTGCGTATCGTCCCTGAATCGGTTTGCGATGGCGACTCAGGCAGATTCAGGGGGGTCAATGTTTTTTTTGATCCAAGTGCAAGGGGGAGCCAGTAATAGCTCGGGTTGGCCGCTTCGGTTTCAGCCGAAACGATGGCTTCTCCGTTTCGCCGGTCGCGACACGGTCGGCGCCACCTGCTTCTGTGACGCTCGGTCTCGGTCCACGCCGGTGCTGAGGATGTCCCCAACGGCTTCGCGGCGTTCTCCAAGGTTCCTTTGTCCGGCTGGGCACAGATGGTGGCCTTTGCAGGCTGGGCCAAGGGCATGGGCTGGGCCTGTTGAAGGTACCTAATTAGAGTTCTTCAGGTCTGTAAGGACTCAGAAAGATGGGCATGTGACTTCCAAACAACAAGGACAACTAACCCACCGCTTGTGTTTCAAATAGAATGGGTTTCTTGTTGATGCAGGGAGGCAGGGAGATCCCTATGTCAAAAAACACCTCCCAGCATCTCCCAACAATCGCTAATAGCCCCGAGAGATCCTCGGTCCATTACACCTTGTTCACCGTTCTATCATGTTCGACGCAGTTATCAGATAGCTCCATCAGCTTCGCAGACAGCTACCCCTTGTCCAAAGGTGGTAACACTGGTTGTAAAAAGCTTTGGAGGCATCCTCAGCCCGAAGCCGTCTCCGAGAATGATGTTTCGAGTCTCGGATCCAGCCATTTGGGGATAGGTTCGATCTCACACCGACTCGCTGCACTGTCAGCTAAACTCCCAGCTGATCCAGGCACTGTCGAGCTCTATCAGTACACGGATGATCCCAAGCGCGCCCCTGGAGACTTCGAGAACGCAGGTCGATCGCCCGGCGGGGACGACGCTCGCGCTCTTCTGGTCGCGGTCAGGGTTTGGGACGCGACCGCGATGCGTTGGAACAACGATTCCGGACAGTTCAATGGCATGGTTTCTAAGGATTCATGGACCAGAACCAATTCAGGAGACCAAGAGACTTTTTTGTTGTTTAAACTTAAAAAAAACTATATATACTTATAGTAGAGTACTGAGTACTCCGCATGTGGCAGCGTCACAAAAGCCATGGATCCAAAGGACACGATTCGCAGCCCAGCTCCCACCACCAGCCAGCTCGCCTGAAGTCGCCGGCTTCGTGAAGTTTTGTTTTCTATTTTTCAGGCTTCTTGGGTATTCCCAACAGCTTCGTGAAGATCTCCGACCCCGAGGCGTCCGGGATTGGCATTTTTACTTTTGTTTGTGTGCATTTTGTTTTTTTCTCCGGGAGAGAGGTGTCAGTGAGAGCGCGATCTTTTCTGGAACAAACATGAACAAAGGATTAAGAAACCACCCACAAACACCGTGACTGGTACCAGGGAAACATGGAGCAACCCATCGAGTTCTTCCCATGTGGGCTCGCCGCCGAGTCGCCTCGCTCGGCTGTTGTGTCGACCCGGCGACTGCGATGGATTGACCAATCAAATGGACACGTGGTGCTCAGGGTGGTGCGAACACATTTCAGTGGTTGATGGATTTGTGTGAAGAGGCAGGGGTGTCCACCAACACTCTTTGAGGGTTCCACCAATCCTGGTGTCGATCGATTCCACCATGTTCCATCGGGTGACCTTCCACCAGAACAGCACATGGCAGAGACTGCTTGGGTATATGAACAGACCTGTGAGTGCTCCAAATCTGCTCAGTGTGTGGCACTCCATGTTTTGGCGTCCGCCATGACATGTTAGATCCTTCCTTTTTCCTTCCTTGCTTCCCATTGCTTGCTTTCCTTCAATATCTTCGATCTCCCAATCTTCCTTTGCTTAGAACCTGATCCTCCAACCCCCAAGACTTGCCAAGCAGCTGAGCTGATCTGTCTGCCCCGGGCGGAAGACAGTTCTGTTCGGCTCAGGTGAAGCAGACGAAGTTGGCCGCCGAGATCGCCAACGGCCGTTTGGCCATGATGGCCATCATCGGCATGTTCTTCCAGAACGGCCTGACAGGAGTTTCTTTATTTTCCCCCTCACGTAGCGGGACAGGTAAAGAAGCGACTCGCTGGGTTGGATCGCGGTGATGATGGGGAGGGAGAAGAAGATGATAACTGATAACCTATAGGATCCTATAGGGGTGATTGGTGCGTGCGTAGTGATGAAGATACAGATTAAGCACATCATCATCTCATGATGAGAAGGACAATGAGGAGGGCAAGGCCCAGGATGACGGATCTTAACGAGTTTCCCCCTGCACAATTCCCCACATAGACTCTTCGGTGATCGGTGATCATAGCTGGTTTCCCATGTCATATTTGGGTGCATATTTTAAATAGGGACCCACAACCAATGGGTAGACTGGTCTATTTCCCTTCCAGCGGGTCTTTGGGAGGTCTCCATATACAATTAATAATTGCACACCCATGACCTATCATGCTCTGCTCTCGCGGGTCTCGGTCTCCCCGCGCTTCTCCAGGAGAGGCCTGGGGCGACTGGTCCCTTTACACAGACTCCCCTCTGAGGGCCTTCGAGGGTGAGCTGGGCGTGCAGGCGCGGTCTGCCGAGAAACACCGCGGGGTTTGTTCAGCGAGACGGGAGTGAGGGGGGGGGACTGGGACACTCAGGGCACACTCAGGCACTCAGGATCAGACTTGGTAAGGTTCTACCCGGTGGCCCGATGCAGCTGCACATTCCATGATGTTCCATGGTACTATTCGAAGCTGAGATTTTGAGATGTCTTCCCACCAACATGGACGTGGACTCTTGGGTTTGCCTTTTATATCAATGGCGTCGAGATCATGTCTCACAGGATCTTTTCATTCGATTTGTCCTTCGCTAGGCCCATCGATCGGCCAAGTCCATCGTGTCGACCGTGCAAGTTTGCCGTTCGGGTCGACCGTGCATGGTTTTCGCGAAGGCTTCGATGCACACATGCCTTGGCTAGTTGGAGGTCTGGATCATTTGTTGAATCTCCCCAAGGTTTGCATGACATTTAAGTTAAGGCACAAGGCAATGGGAGCTGTTAGAAGGCTACTTTTTTTTTCTGCATTAATCACCTTCTAACTTCTAGCACAGCATGTTGTGTATTACAATGGAATTGTAAGAAGTAACACAAGCAGAACAGCGAATGCCTGAGCTGTTCTGGTTCGAGCCAATTTGAGAGCACGAGCAGCTCTCAGCTGGGTCGGTGAGGCCCGATCCGACCTGGCCGGTTTCTCGACGCCATGGATGCGTTGCAGGGTCAGCCCCTCGTTGCTTGGACCATCCGTGAGTTCAAGCTACTGACCTCCGGTGTGTCCGTGGATGCCATGCGGCGGGCGCTCGTGGCGCTCATCGCTTGGACGACCAGCTGCCTCTGTTTGTTCCGGTCGCAACCGGAGGAGGTTCGGCAGGAGCTTCGGGTCTTCGAGGACACCGTCTGTGCCGTCCAGGAGGAGGTGGTGTCCCTGCTTGGCAGATCCTACACCAGCCCCCATGCGATGGCCCACTGGCGCAACCAGGACGCTGTCATCGTGCCTACACAGCAACAACATGTCGTTCGTGGCGTGATGGACTCGCTGGACGGCAAGCACCTGACCTTGGCCGGGTTCTGGGCTGATTTGTCCGCCACGGACGGCTTGCACATGGAAGAGTTGGTTGAGGCCGTGTCTGCATCCAGCAGCCTCTATGCCGGCCAGGAGGGCATGGTCCTAGTGGCCCACTTGAGCGGCCTTTTCGTCAGGTCTGTGGCGGAGGTCTACCGCCGGCAATTTCAACACGCCCGTGGACCGAATAGCTCCGACGAGGAGTGGGACGTGATGATCTGCGGCCCGCAGACCCCTCGTGGCCCGCAAGGCCCCTCAGCGAGTTCATAGTGTTTCACCCGCTCGTTTGCCTTTTTTGAAAATTTCGTTGTTGCTCGTTTTCCGTGGTCGGTCGAGTTGATGGGTTATTTCATAGCATGGCCTCCTCTTTAAGTTGAAGACCTCGAGGCCTCCACCTTCACACGCTGTTGAAGTTGCTCAGATGTGAGTGCCGTCGGTCGATCGACGAACACATCAGTCCGTTTGCCCCTCTCACGTTGAGTTCACCTGTGAATTTTTCGCATGATTGGGCCCTAGCGAGTGATCATGACTGGCACTGACAGCGGCCCCCCCGGCCTGTGGGGCGCATTGCGGTCTACTGGCCTGCAGCCTCTTGCACCTCAACTTGCCTGCCATGGAGTGCGCTCGCTGACGGACATCGCGAGCCGCTTCAATGAGTTGGTTGCGGCCGGCTTTTTGCCAGGTCAACTTCAGCGGCTGTGCGAGCAGCCTATGGGCTCCAGCCTGGACTCCGCAGTTGCCCCACGACGAGATTTCCCAGCAGTGCGCGACGGGGCTCACGCCTCCCTACAGTTAGCCCTGGCCGCTGCATTGCCCGACCGGCAGGCCGACAGTTTGCGGGCCTTGTCTGATGACTTACTGGCTCCATCTACACGACCATCAGTGGAGAGTAGACTCCGGACCTGGCAGGCCATTTGTGAGGCTTGGGGACAACCCCCCTTCCCGCTGACCATCGACAACGTGAGGCGGGCTTCTGCTTCCTTCAAAGCCGGTCGTTATCGATCAGCCAAACAGTACTTTGCCATCGTCAGCACCTATCAACAGCGGGAGCTGGGACTTCCTGTCGATCCGATGGTTCGCCAAGCTATGAAGGACCATATTCGAAGCATTGAGAGGGGCCTGGGGCCCAGTCAACTGAAAGAAGCCTTTATGATGCCAATGATTGGGCCGTTGATCCAGCTTCATGACCGGGATCCCTTCGCAGCAACCACCGTGGCTCATGCAGTCGATGTCATCATTCTGGGGGTATGGTGGATGCTCCGGGAGGTCGAGTTGGCCGCGGCCCGCGCACAGCATTTGCAGGTCTACAACAATACGGTCACCCTGACGCTCCCCTTCAGCAAGACGGACAGCGGGGGCCACATGGTCTCTCGATCCTTGGAGTGCGCATGCTCCGATGCGGTTCATGCCTTCTGCCCTTTTCATGCGGCCATACGACACCGCACCCGCCTTGCCAGGCGTTTTGGCCGGGAGCCCACAACGGAACCTCTACTCCCCGACTCCGATGGCGAGGTCTTTGACAAAGCCGGCACGATCGAGGTCATCAGATCCGTACTGACGGCAGCCGGCATCCAGTTGACCCGGACGACTGAGGACGGCCGAGAGGTCCAGCGGTTTCATGGACATGTTTTGAGAGTGACGGGCGCCCAGTTCTGCACCGCTGCCGGAGTTTCTCCAGAGCTCATCCAGACACATGGTCGTTGGAAATCCTTGGCCGTTCGCAGGTACACACAGGATGCCTCTTTAGCCACAACCCCCTCTATGGCATCTCGGGTTCTCGGCGGAGTGCAGCCGGCCACTCCGTCATTTTCCCCAGCGACGCCGGTACCGGCGAGGGATATGTTGGCACCGTCCGAAAATGGGGACGCCAGCAGGAGCGCCCCCGCGGCCAAGAGGAGCCGTTGCGCTGATCGCCCACGACCCGGGCCAGCGGTTCAAGACCTCCGCGAAGAGGTCCAAACACTGGCAGCATCTCTGCAGCAGCTGAAGACCGCCGTCCTTCGACCTGAGAGCGACCCCCTAGTGGTGTGGAACCGGAGCAAGATCGCCCACAAGATCGGCGTCAATGAACAGACCAATGTACCCACCTCCTGGCGGACCACATGCGGGCGACCATATGGCCTCGGTCTATTTCATAGGATCCCAGCCCTTGAGGGGGACTTCGTGCCCTGTAAAAAGTGCTTTCAACTCTCCTCCGATCCTGATTCGGTCTCAGAGGAGAGCTCTTCGTTGGGGGATGACTCCTCCGACGAAGGCGACAGTGCCTGACGGGGCGGCACCGGGCGAAACGGCTGCGCTCTCGGTGGGGGGTTCCCCCCCGGTTTGGTCGGTGTTTGGTCTGGGGTCCCCGCCGACTTCGTGGTGTTTTCGCCTTCTTCGGGTCGTCCACCTCGGGACGGGGGCGTTTCGGACGGGACGGATCGTCGTCACCTCGCGCGTCGAGTGTTGTGCAGGTTCAGGCAAACAGGGCATGACCTTGTGTGACTCTTCTTTCGGTTCGTCACCCGCTCGATCGTCCGACCGTTTGGCAGTACATGAATCACACACTGACTGATCTTCCGTCCGTGAGTGGGACGGCTCAATAGCAGCCATGACGGCCGCTTCGCTCCCTCCATTACGTGATATCCTTGACCATGCCGGGGCCGACACGGTGGTCATCGATTACATCCAGGCGCGCGGCATTACATCCCTCGGGACCTTCGCCAAGGTGGCGTCCTCCGTGGACAATCTGAGGGCGACCCTGATTCAGCCACTGTTGGATGGCTTCAAGAAGGGTGGTGCTCACCTGGTGGTCGATGATGTCGACAAACCGATTATCGAAGCAGTGATCATCACAGCCTGGGAAGAAGCCCAGGCGCTCTGGGCACAGCATGTGCGCCGATCAGCGTCAGCCTCGACCGCCGCGCCAGGTAGTCCGGCCCCGGCCACGGCGACGACGACTCTCAGTGATGACAGGCCGCCCAAACAGCTGCCCACTGGGGTGTGGAACAACGCCATTCGCAAGTACAACGACCTCGAGATCCAAGGGATCCATCGGAAATTTCCGGAGAAGGAGTTGCTTGGGGCCGAAGTGACGCTGGCCCGAATGCACCACGAGCACACCCGGAGCAAGATGTACACACCGGTCGGTCTCGGAGAACTCATGACCCACCGAAGCTTCACCTCCACGGGGGAGCCCAATCCATTGGTGAAATCCAAACAGGAGGCCAAAACCACTCTGACAGTGGAAGGCGATAAGTTGGTGCAGGAGGCCGACAAGGTATGGCAACCGAAATCGGTCCTGGCAGTGATCGACGCCATCAACAGCATTCGCTGGGCTTGGATCTTGCTTGACTATGGCCCTGAACTGGTGATCCATGAGTTTTGTGACTGGTTGTCATGTCGCGCACGTCTGCGCCCTCAAAAGTTGGAGCAGTTCAAGGTGTATTACGATCAGATCTCTTGGAAGCTAGCCACCTTAATGCGGAGCCACCAGACCTTTCCAGAGGCGACCGCCGAGATTCGGGCCGATCTCGAGACCTACCAGGAGGCAATGGCCAAGGAGATTGTTACCAGCAATCGACCCGCCGCCAAGCGCAAGCTGGACAGTGACAACCAGGCCGAGGGACCGACCATCAAGTTCCAGAAGGGCATGAGCAAGGGCAAGCAACAGGCACGCCCCCCGTGGCGATCAGGTGCGGCATCATCGTCCTCCTGGGACTCCTCCAATCGATCCAGCTGGTCCAGTCAGTGGTCCAGTCAGTGGAGCACCCCACGCGGCCAGAGTCGCGACTGGGGCAAGTCAGATCACAAATAGGGCCCAGGGAACCCCCCTGTTGGCACGCAGGGGGGCGATCCCGCTGAGCCCGAAGTGCCATTAGCCCCGGACCTCCGATGCAACATCGTTCTGAGCTTTTTCGATGGCATTGGTTCTGGGCCCTTTGTTCTACAAGAGCTCCTACCGACCACACCATTGGTCCTGGCCTGGGAAACTGATCAGGTTTGCAAGGACATCGCTAGCCACCACATGCCGCATATCCAACACCGGGGCGATTTCCGAGAAGACAGCCCAGAGGATGTCGCCGCCGCCCTACGGCAGCATGCGGGCAACGTTGCTCCTCAGGTTTGGGTCCTGGCCGGACCACCGTGTCCAGACTTCAGCCGCATCAAATCCGCAGCACCCGGAATAGAAGGGTCAGAAGGTGTCAAAATGGACGAATTTTGCACCTTTTTGGACAACCTGGAGGGCGCCCTCAAAGATTGGCCACCACCGATTATCCTCGTCGAGAACGTCGTGATGACCAACAAGCAGGAGATCCAACATTTCTCCCATCGGCTTCGCTGCAACCCCATTTTGGTCGACGCAGCTGATTTCGGGATGATAGGAAGACCCAGACTCTGGTGGACCAGGCACCAGTGGTCGTCCAAAGACACCTATCCCGGCACCAATCGCCCCCTGAGGTGGAGCCAGACTCATGGCCTGCATCGCCTGCAGGCGTCCCTCACCTGGGATGACCCGAAAGCAATGGAGCTTCACGACCTCTTCTTCCATGAGCAAGTCCGCCAACACCAGGTGAGGATCCCATGCCTGACCACTCCGGCACCAACCTCCCATGGCAGGCCAGCACCCAGGAGCGCTCGAGGGAAAACCTCCGACGAGGCCCGTGAACGGTGGATTGGCGACCAGCGGAGGTTTGCACCATGGAACTACGAAGACACTGCGATGATGCAAGGAGCAGATCGTCGCTTCTACGTGGTCCCTCCCAAAGTGAAGGAGAGGTTGCATCACTTTCCTGACAACTACACCAAACACAAGTCGGCCAACACCCAAGACAGGCATCGAGTCTTGGGCAACAGTTGGCACTTGGGGGTGGCCAGACTCCTCTTAACCCTCATCTTCACCAGCATCACCGCGACCACAGCGACACAGCCCAGCCGGTACCCTCACCAGACCATCCTGGACCAGATGATACAATGGGCCAACGTCCAACAGATCCCTATGGGACCAGGCCCGCGGCCCGTTCAGGCACCCCTGGTGACACCTTGTCACTCCATGGAAGAACACTTCCGACTGTCGTCGTCGGTCCTGCACCCAGCAGCCCAGCCCCCGGAACCCGAGCCTTCCCTACAAGACACCGCACGGAGGTTGCTCAGGTGTCTCGACCACATTGACCAGATCCGGCAAGCGGTCCTCCAAGATCTTCAGCAGCTCAAAGATGATTGGGCACCTGCCACTGAGCAATGGCTGGCCGCTGCCCCTCCCCATATACGACAGGTCTACACCTCCAATGGGAGCCACCCAACAACCCAGGTGCCTTTGATCTGTCATTTGCTCCGGCAGCTACAGTACCCCGAGGTGGATGAATTGAGCGACGAACTTCACGGAGGTTTCCGTCTTCTGGGCGATCTACCCATTGGAGCCGGCTGGTCACATCGACACGACCTCAGGTATAGCTGCCCAACCTCCGTTGACGAATTCCTCCAAGAGAACCAGGAGTACATCTACAGGAAGCTCCTGGACCACAAGGTAGAGGACACCATGCTGGATGAGCTGCTCAAAGAACGTGACCAGGGCAAGATTTTGGGACCGTTTGCGTCCTTTACAGACTGGCCCAAGCAGTGTGTTGGCGTCCCCGACCGCACCGATGTGACCTTGCTGCCCAACAGCTGGACGCATTGCCCTACTGCAGTGTGTTTCTCGGTAGTTCAGTCTGACAAGATCCGACGATGCGAAGATTATCGTCGCGGACATCACAATAGCACCATCGGGGCCACCGACATCCCCCACCACCACGACATCGGGGCTTATGTCAGCATGGCATCCTGGTTCCAGGCCCAGTCACACCCAGCCCATATTTGGGCCCACGACTTGAAATCTGCCTACAGGCAGTTTCCCATCCAAGAGCCATGGCACGGCTTCACCCTTCTCTTCACACCGCACGGCCCAACCTTGTGGCAGCATCAGGCTCTCATGTTCGGGGCCACCGCATCGGTCTGGGGATTCAACAGGGCAGCAGACGCTGCGACATACCTCACCAGACAATTGCTCCTCACATGCACCATGCACTACGTGGACGACTTTGGTGGGGTAGAACCGGCTCGGTGTAGCACCTCCGGTTTCCAAGCCTTTACACAATTCACCGAAATCTTGGGCCTGCATATGAAGCCGAACAAGGCACAACCGCCAGACACCAAACAGGAGCTCCTGGGGGTCGAGATCGAAGTGGGCACCGACGAGATCGTCCTACGACCGACAGCGACCAGGCGGGCTAAACTACGTGAAGAAATTCATCGATTACAAGCCCAGGGCACGATTTCGCCCGCGGAGGCCAGCAGACTTGCTGGCCGCATGACCTTCCTGAACTCCACTGTTTTCGGCAAGGTGGGGGCGGCCGCCCTTCGGCCTCTATACGTCCGGGCCAAGGCAATGGGGGGACGCCCCAAAGGAGATCAATATGCCGTCACACCGCCACTGGCAGCTGCCCTCAGAACCATGATCCACATTATCAGCACGGCAGAACCACAGAGGTTCCCTTTGACACCTGCACAGCCCTGCTCGGCCACACTCTACGCCGACGCCTTTTACAAGCAAGGTGAGTACAAGATGACCGCCGATGAGGCCTGGGAACTGCGACACGGCGGTCTCTCCAACGGCTGGGGCTTTGTGGCGCGCTTGGGGGAAGACATCTTTTATGCTCATGGCTCCCTTCCACAACAACTTCTGCTGAGGGTCACCACTCGGCAGGCTTTCATCTACTTTTTGGAGATCTACGCTCAGGTGGTCATGACAGCCTGCCTCTCGGAGCTGCTGCCACGCCAATGGATCAGCTTCATCGACAACCAAGCGGGACACGCAGCCTTGCTCAAAGGTTGGGGCTCCGACGAACGGGTGAACCTGCTCCTCGAGTGTTTTTGGAAAATGGCCGCCAAGCTCCAGTGGCAGCCACATTTCGAGTGGGTGCCCAGCCACAACAACATCTCTGACCCGATTTCCAGGGGTGACTTTTCTCTGGCAAACCTCCATCAGTGGACCCTCATCGATGTTGAGGATACACCACTGCACAAGCTTTTGAGTAGCAGCCAGACGAATTTGGAACAGGCTCACCTAGAGGGTGATCGAATCTTGTCCCAATTAGCATCAACCCGGTGCTGTGTGGTGAACTCCCCGGGTGGTCTCCACAGGAGTTCATCACCAGTGAGGCCTGGGAGGAAATGATCCAACCCTCAGACCTATAGAGGAGGAAAAAGTCGAGAGCTTGGTGCTGCGGAACAGTTCGGTTCGAGATGAATGTCGACAGTTCGATTCGTGATTTGTGTCGATAGTCGCTATCTAACAAGTTAGGTAACGCCACTTGATTGCATGTGGCTGGAAGCGGTGTTGTGTATTACAATGGAATTGTAAGAAGTAACACAAGCAGAACAGCGAATGCCTGAGCTGTTCTGGTTCGAGCCAATTTGAGCCCTCCACTCCACACCCCTTCGTAGATCGACTTGGAGCGCCGTCGCTGCCGCTTTTGTCTACTACCACCACTGAGATGAGCCTCATGATCACAGTCTTCTGAGGTGGCATTCAGTTTTCCTTTCTTTACTCGTACCGGATTAATCCGGTAGTTCGTACAGGTTGTGTCACTTCCTGTACATTGTGTCTCTTTCTCCGAATTCACGATCAGGTCACTTACATCCTAGCCCTGGGATGGTCTCCACAGGAGTTCATCACCAGTGAGGCCTGGGAGGAAATGATCCAACCCTCAGACCTATAGAGGAGGAAAAAGTCGAGAGCTTGGTGCTGCGGAACAGTTCGGTTCGAGACGAATGTCGACAGTTCGATTCGTGATTTGTGTCGATAGTCGCTATCTAACAAGTTAGGTAACGCCACTTGATTGCATGTGGCTGGAAGCGGTGTTATCACTAACATCCCTTGTTATAGCGAGCCACATTGAACAACATATGATAACATCCACCAGCATGATGTGGCCAGTGGCGGGCCAGCGGAGTCTGAACATCCACTGCAGACATCCGTTCGGTCGTCCCGCCGGCCCCAGGCGCCCGTGGGCTTCTGGGACCCTTTGGGCCTGTCAGCGGATGGCCACTCGGTTGGAGCGATGAGCCTAGCTGGGGTTGACATGAGTGGGATCTCGACTTGCTACAGGTCCTACATGGTCCGGCCCTAGGTCAGACGATGGTGGAACGACCAATTCCCAGAAGAACAGATGTTGTTTGTTTTTTGAAGATACATGGAAAAGCATGGAAACACATTTTGGATGTTTTCAGATTTTGTTGCAGGGAAGCACAGGGAGCCCAAACCCATGGTGGAAATCCCCCGCGAACGGTTGTTTGATCATCTCTCACCAGTGTGTTCACCACAAGGGTCGTTGGCAGAATTCAATCGTTCGTCCACCAGGGTGCTGGGTCGCTGGGTCGGGGTGCGACTTCTTTTGATTGGTGGTCTTTTTCGAAGAGACTCCTCCAAGAGGTTGGGACATGTTGGGAAAATTCAAGCACTTCTGCCAAGACACTTCTTCCTAGACCGATCGCAGAAGGTCTCGACGTCTTCTTACGATCTCAGGCGATGTGGAGACCTTCAAGAGGCGTCGTGCCGCGGAGTTGAAGCACGGGCGAATTTGCATGTTGGCCTGCGTTGGTGGCTTGGAGATGAGACTTGGGACGGGACCTGGCTGGACCTGGCTATAGACCTGTTTGGATTGGTCTGATGGTCTGGATAGATGGACAGGTGGTGGGCGAAAGCGGTGTGAAGCCTCCAAAAGCGGTTTCTTTGTAGTGAAGCTTTCTTATTTCGGCAGCCAGGACGGAAAGTCATCCCCCAGGATGGGAGCTGCAAATACACGAGTCGCTTTTGTGTGTTTGGAGGGACCAGTTTTGGCCTATCATATATTGTAGTCTATCAGGTACTGCTTTGGTTGTTTGGCAGGGTGATTCCACACATAGAGCATTGCACGCACCTTCTCTCCGTGACCCATGCGCCAACGCTCGCCTCGCCGATGCCAAGGCTACATCGTGCCGGAGTATTTCAGATGGCCTGGCTACCTCTCCCCTGAGAAGGGCCTCAAGCTACCTGACGGATGGGACTTAACGAAGGGTCTCACATTTTGGATCAACTACAGTAACCCCATGTTTGCAGAGAAGTAACTTTGCTGTATGGCTGGTTTTATGTACTTGTAAGCATAAGATAGTAATCTTGAGGCATCATCATTTTGTACAAACCCACTCTGGTACATGCCATGTTGTAGATGGCAAAGCAGCTTGGGCCAGAGCTTTTTGTAGACTCCAACCGCCCCAACCTCTTCGCCCCCTTTAACTTAATGGGGATTTACATTGTCACTATATGATCCAGTCTATATGTGAAAGCATGTGACACAAATCCATCATCCACTGCATAGATCCAATGCGAACCGCACAGAAAGGGACATACACTCTACTCAAATTTTAACAATGCCATAGATGATGTATGAGATAATGAACATGCCCCTACATCGCGAACCCTTTTTCTAATCAAAGAAGGGGAAATCACTGATATTACTTAGTAAATCTTAGTAACTATTACCATGCAGAAATTCATGTCATGTAAAAAATACAAGCACACATTTTCTCTTGAGGTGAAACTTGGACATTATGGTCCTCACCTCAATGGCTTTGAGCCTTCTCAAACATCTGCTCCAATGGAACGCCCGCTGTCTCGTCGCTGTCTCGCCTCGACCGCCGCCGAGGTTTGCGGACATGCCCCACGGCATCGCGGCGATCAGCAAGGTCCCACTGGACGCTCGGCGCGCTCGCCTCCACCCCCCAAGCCGGAGCTATTTCCCTCCATCGTCCAACGGAGCGGTTTTGGTTCGGAGGTGACCCAAATCAGTGCCTCGTTTTTGGGAGAAGTTTGTGGCTAAAAAAAGAATGGCATCTCTCCCAAGGAAGGCTGGGTGCAGATCGTGCTCTTCTTGGGCCACTACGAGGGCTACTTCTGGCGCCAGGACCCCAAGAGGGCCCCTGGCGACTACGAGGGCTACGGCTTCCTTGGCCCCTCGGTCCGAGACAAAGAGGAACAGAAAAGGCGGCAGAAACGCGACATGTTCAGCCCATGTACGATGCCATAAGATGCCATAAGAAATTATTTCATAGGTGGTGGACGGTACCACCTAACTATGGTATCCCTCATTTCAGCCCCAATGTTCATGCAACATGTTGATCTCATCATACTTCACACTGCGTTTGGGCTGAAGTCGTTCTATTCCAGCATTCATAGTGCCATGAGGGAGCTTCAAGCAAGAGGAGGAGTTCGTTCTGGATCCAATGTCAGTTTGAATTCAGTATCGACCATGAACGAGATGAACAGTAGTGAGGCACATGATTTCTTCTTCCAGGTGGTTCAGGAACTTGCCAATCTACATAGCCAGCATTTGAATGCATTTGCTATTCCATGCTTCGCACCCTTTTCGCGAGCTGAGCGGAGCCTTTTCGCGAGCTGAGGTGCTGGCAAGAACTTCATTTTCAACTTCGACCCCATTGAGTTCCAGGCCGTCAGGAGGTTTCTTTTCATGAACAAATTCATGGAAGACCGAATGGTACATGGTGCACCCCATTCCGTTTTCCGGCTGAAATGGCCAGCGCCGTGGCAAAGAGCATCCCCAAGCAGAACTTTCATTCGGTTGGTGTAGAATGCTTGCATGGAAACACCTTGTTCAGCAAGATCATTCTAACATCCAGAATCTCTTCCACCTCATTGAAACCCCAAAGCTCTTCATCCACTGATCCTTGGGGTCGGATCAAACTATCCCTTGGAGTCGGTCCCTCCACATGATCACATCCCTCCGCAGTCGGTCCGATGTTGGGGACTTCCAGGACCCCCAGGTGAAGAAGACCAAGTTGGCTGCCGAACTCGCCAATGGCCGCCTTGCCATGGTGGCGCTGATGGCGATGTGGCTGTGGCCATATGTGTTTTTTCGATGGTCGACGGTGATGGGCCAAAGATGAACATGGGACCGGTACACGAGTTCTTGAAGACGAAGTGTAATTAGATGCATCTCCCTGAAAATTAGATCGATATCCGATGGCCTCTTATCACTGTGAAAGGTTCACAAGCTGGTGGTGCTGGGCGGATTCCTTTGGACGAACGCAGTGTATTCCTTTGCAAAGGAAAGATAGGACATGCTTTGCAATTTTGCAGTGATATTGTAGGGCACCGACCGTGTTTGTTGTTGAGCATGCACAGGATCCGGGATCCTCACCTTTTGTTCCATGAATGCTCAAGCAATAATTGGAGGAAGTTAATGTCGACAGCCGCCTCCAAATGCAGATTATCATTGTAGTCCGCGAGTCATGGAAGGTCTTTCCCTTTTTCTCCGGAGTTGTTTGAAAGTCTCGTTGATGACAGTCAAAGTTGATTGGACATGCCCGAACAGTAAGTGCCACTGCCACATACTCCAAGATCGGAAAGGCACCACAACACCATAACCGGTGATTAAGCTAAACGGATCTAAACGCTTATATAGCTGCCTTTCTTATTCCCCAACTACCTCAAAACGACCTCGTTTTGGACCCTGGATTGCTTCGCCCGCTGGCCCAGGCTGTTCCAGAACGGCACCGTGGGCACCACTGGCCCTGCCATGTGGCTCCCCGCGGCGTAGGTCCGTCCAGACCCGAAGCGGAGGAAAAAAAGGAGAGTGGTCCGACTGGCGGCAGCATGGTGTGGCAGCACAGACATGGTCAAATTGATTGTTATTTTTATATGGTTTGTTGAGGCTCATGCCTCATATATAGTTGTTTTTTCTGTTTAAATCCTCTCTCAGTTCTTTTTCTCTGGCGCCGTCCGTCATGATATTTAATGTGCGGTGCTTGATGAATGATGAATAATGATGACATGTATGACCGTTTTGCCAGTGGAACGACATACTTGTGTGATGTATGAGCGCGCGTTTGTTTGCCGGAGAGGCAGTCCTGTACGCTAGTACTCCGCTTGTCCAGAAGATTCGACTATAAATTTGTGTGAATCCGTCACCAACAAAATATCTTGTCTACGCAGCAAACATAAGGCCTTGTGTTTTTTGGAGGATGTCGTGCTTGATTCAAATGGATTTCTTCCTGCAACACGTTTCCGGGCTTTATGCAGACCCTGACCTTCCACCGTCTTTTGCGTATTCAGCTGTTGAGCATCGTGGACTGCCGTTGGATGCATGCGCGAGCGATGATTGCTGTGGGGCCCTGTGCGAATTCCCTTAGGGCACAACTACGCTCCCGCCCACACGTCTTTGGAGTAATTCCAATCTTCATGTTTGCATTTTGGCCGGTTTGTATGCGCTCAGGGTCTCGACGATTTTCGACCACTCTTCTTCCATCAGAGATCCACTCCATCCTCTGCCACCATTCTCTGGTCCTCCATGTGGCTCCATACTTCCTGCCCGAACGGACGATCTCTCCGACGATCTCTCCAGACCTGGGTATCATGTTGCCGGACCCGGCTCGGGTGAATGTGGCCACACTCATGTGGGCTTCAACCCGCCATCCAGTCACCTCCAAGCTGCTCCTCCACCTGTCACCCTCAGTGGCCCCTCCGCCCCGCTCCCCTTCGCCGCGAACTGAGACGGTCGAGGCGAGCCATGAGCCTGGCCGGTCGGGAGTGACTTGGCCCATCTGGAAGCTCATGACGCTCATCTTTCAGGCTCATGTCCATTGTATGTACATGTCCATGGTCGTTGAGGTTGGATGGCTTCCGAAGTTTTTTGATTGCACCAAAGCCACAAAATCATTTGATTCAGATGACACAAGAAACACCCAAAACACAAATTGTGTCCTCTCATACTTGACCCTTGCAATGGGAAGCGTGCAAAGTTTTGGCAAGCCCATGGCTCTTGGCAGGCTTTGGATGTGTCTCATCTCAAGCCAAACGATTCAAGTTCTTTTGACAACAAAATCCTGGACCTGAGATTAATAGGCAGGTCTAAAAAACCATGACTTCTGGGACACACCCATGTCCTATGATGTCTTCTGTATACATATATATATATATATATCGCTCGTCGAAGCACCCCGAAAAACCGTTTCACTCGGAACCATCCTCGTGCCTTCTGGTGCCCTCCTACTGGACGGCCATCTCGGCCCACGCGGCGGTGCCAACGACCTTCTTCGCTCGCAGAAGCGACATGGCAAGCCCCACATTGTTCGCCCGGCACCTCCGGTACATCCAGTCGCTTGGGACCCCAACTCCGCAAAGGATGTACTGGTAGCCGTAGAGCCTTGATCAGCCAAACCGAGGAAAGCAGCACTTAAGATCGGATTAGCCAAGAAATGCCGCCCTTGATGGGCCACATCTCGTACCACTGTGGAGGTTTCTTCTAGACTCCTCAGTCTGAGCATGTTGGTCCGGGGGCCCACCCCACCAATGGCAGATAATGGCAGGAAGTATTCAGCAAGCCAGCAAGCCATGGCGACCATGTTGGGCTCCAGGAAGATGGTCGCTTCGGGGCTTCCTTGATCGGCAGCGACCCCTTGGCCCGTCTCGCTCCCAATGACCCGGTCGTGAAAACCAAGACAGAGCAGCCCCAGCAGCCCTGCCCGGGCCAGAACTGGCAAGGCAGCTGGGGGAACACTCTCAGACAGGCAGCCTATCTTTTTGGTGCAATTATTGCAGGGCATCGGTCGTCGAAAGAACCATCTCCTGAGTGGAAGCAATAGTTTGGAAGAAGACACTGAAACGGAGCAACTACAAGTGCGCATCGAAGACAACGGCAAACCTTTTTAGCCATATTTGTTGGTCCACATCACTCGGCAACACACTGGCCCGAACCCAGATGCTACAAGACCACACCCTTAACACTGCGACTGAAATCGGTGGCAAGATGGGTGCACAAGACCCGGACAACGCCAAACACTGCAATCAGAACGTGGTCAACAGTAAGGACATTGGAGTAGAAGCTGAACCAGTTTTGGCCACGCCTGCAGTATGGTCAGTTCTTATCTTTTTTGCGTGGGCAAGCCGGAGGAAGTGTAGTTTTTGGGTTGGCTTGCCACACGAAAACTTCTCTCTCTAACTCACTACCTGCGGTTTACACTTCTTTCAGTTGCCTTGTTTGATTTGGTTTGTGGTTGAAACCAGTGACCCGCATTGATTATCGTTGTGCTTTCTTTCTTGTGCTGCCCATGACTTCATGGGAAGAACGCTCATTGAAAGATCAAGGCCTGGGACCATGCTCGACCGGGGCTTGCGCGCATAAGCTCCCAACACGGAGAAACCATGAAAGCGCGGGAGAGGTGCAACGTTTGAGCGTCAGGTCGAAGGCCAACACCTATCGATGGAACCAGTTGGTGAGGGAGGCAACAAAGCCAACTCCAGGCATTGCCAGTTGTTGCGTTTTCGGACGCCAGCCATTGCACTGAGCCCTCGTGGAGGATCCATATGCGTGAGCTGCTGCTTTTGGTGGCACTTGGAACAGCGCGGCTTTACCACAACTCACGGACTCACGGCAGCGCAAATCACTGGGTCATAGTCAGCACGTGCGTTTCGAGAAGGATGGGTGCTGCGCACCATAGCCGGATGTGGAAACAAGTCGCAGGGGTGAAGCCACGGTGCTGAAGAGGCACCCTATCCCTAGACGTCAGGAAACTTTGGAGGCACAATTCGCCGGGCAGCCCGAACCAAACCGCAGCACGGGGAAGACTGGAGACTAACCCGAACGTGTGTGCCGGCTTTGGAAGGATTGAGAACAGCTTCTGCTTGTTTGCGAAGGAGCACGTGGTTTCTATCGGTCATGCCGCCTGGACATCCCATAGGGCTTGGTGTTCCTGTGGGGTCACAACCCGCACATTGCCCTGCAGGTTCCTGGGTCATCCGGTCCTCCTGGGCTATTCCTGGGGGGCGCCCTGCTCCCTCCCGTCCCGCTTTCCTACCGGCGAAATTCTTAGTTTGGAACCTCGTGCTTCCTCTTTGCATTAGGTGGATATCAGGAGGGCTGCTTTTTCAGCCTGGCTCAACTGAGGTGGCTTGAGGCGCTGGTGCAAAACATGAGGGAACCTTGTTAACCTGGACTATGGAATGTGTAGGCGTCAATTCAACCTGGGGGGCTGTGGCTTTAATGTGGTCGTGACATTGGAGCACCAAATTTTGATTGAAATCGTTTTAGAAGCCGCGCTGGTGTGAGTGATAGAAGTGCTTGGGTGAGAGGGACCGCTGGCTGACCTGTTGCAGGGCATGGGGTAGTTCTTCCCCACGGCGGCTATTGCGATGCTATTGGTTTCTGGCTGCTCGGGGGGGGGGCGCTTTAGCACCGAAGCCGCAGCCTTCCTCCGCCCCTTCGTGCTAGCCACAGCTCGGGCTGTTCCCGGTCACCTCCGCTCTTTTGTCGCCCTCCTCGCCCATGCAGCCGTGCTGCTTTTTGCAACCAGCGTCCTCCTTCAGGACTCTGCTGGCCCCGCTCTCTACGACGTCCTTGGGCAAGACGGAGGTCTGCCCGGCCCGCCGGTCTCCCGGCTCGCCTCGTCCCCTTGAAGGGGGTCCGTGGCTTGCATTTGGCTTCTTTTCGCCGGGAAACTGCGCGAGAAGGGCTGGAGAAAACCGCTATGTCGCTTTTGGCTGAGCAATGCTGTGCATTTCCATCATGCTCCAGGCCAGCCAGCCAGCCAGCCAGCCAGCCACGCAGCCAGCCAGCCAGCCTCATCGTGTGCATGTCACAGAAGGTAGCTTGAACTACCTGAGTTCTCCTTGTTTTGGTTTAGAAAAAATGTATTCCAATCAATTGATTTTGTGCTTTGCACTGAGTTTGGCCCTGTAAGAAGGGATTCTATGATCAAATCCCCCATGCGCCGTCGCTGTTTGGGTCACGTCCATCTACCTTTGACGCCGTCATGGACTTCTACCCTCAAGTGTGCACGTTGTTGTCTCGCCATCACACCGCCGCTGAACATATGACCGCATATGACAGAGCCCTTGCGGGCAGCAGGAACAAAAATAAAATGCCAACCGCTTAAGCAAGACAACAAAAGTCCAGCCGGCGCAGGCCAAACACCAAAAGAATGTAACTGTTTCAACTTTGATTTCAAAACAGCATAACATAAACACACACACACACAAACGTGCACAGTTTAACACTAAACTAACTATTTTTAATGCAATATACGGCCATCAAGTCGGCGGACATGCGCCACAAGGTTCTCATTTTAAGATCCGCCGTGTTGGGATGTTTGGTTGCCACACGGGCCGCGCGCAACAGTGCGTGCAACAATGGTCGTACGGTTGTGCACAAAATTGTTCGGCCTTGGGTTGGCCCCATGGCGAGCGTTGCTTCTGTCAGTGATGCGTGTTGAAAACTGCAGTTGTGCGTGGTGACGCGCGTGTGGTTGGCGTTTCACCATGTGCTGATTTGCATAATTGGCGTTCAACGGTTGCAGACCTGGCAACCCCGAAACAGCAATTTGTTTGCTGTTTTGGGGTGCTGCTGCAGCCGATTTCGGCACAGGTCTTGGAAATCGAGGGCCGCTGTGTTGGACCGCACGGTGGCACATCGCACGTTCCAGCACAAGTTCCTAGCCCACAAAGCAGGCAATTATCTTGCGACTGGGGAATCACCTGTCCCCAAGATGTGGCATGCATTGGCTGAAAACTTGACTTTGGACTTTGCGCCTGCACGGAAAAATGATGACAATTTATGTGTGTTGGGCGCGCACGGATTTCCGGCATCCAGATGCCATAATCTGCCATAATGTATCTGAATACAACAATGCCAGTTCTAAAACAAAGGGCGGTGTTCCATTCCAAGAAGGTTTCGTGCGACAGACAGGTGGCGAAGTTGCGCGATGGCGGCTGCGCACGTGCTGCTTTGCATGCCTTTGTTGGGGTGGGTCAGGTTGTTGTGGGCTAAAAACAATGATTTGTATTATAGCTTTAAGTATTATAGTATTATAATAAGTTCTCACACCAGCTCTGAGATGCTCTGAGGCTGAAAATTTGGCTGGCCTGTCCAACGATGTGCGGTTGCCACCACGGTTGCCGTCCAAGATCGAAGGGATTCCGGAGCTTCTTGGCCATGCAACGCGGTCGGCGCTTTTACTTAATATTATGCAGTAAGCCCTGGACCTTGAGAGCCAGAGTTGGCAATGGGTTTCTCAAGAAAAACCCAGAAATTATCCAAGAAGATGCCCGAAACACAAACGTGATTGCGGTGGGGGTTGCGGATATAGGAACAGGCCACCCAGGAAATAAATCTTGACTCGGCCTCTAATTTGGAGAGGTTGTTTGTCGGGTGGGTGGGTCAGGGGGCAGGAGAACGTCACAGTTAAACCGTTGTTTTTCCATGTTCCTGGAGGTAGGGAGTCCGGAAAAAATCCTGAGTGAATGAATGAACCAAAACCATGCTAGTCTTTTGAAGTGACCATCGTCACCCTTTTTCTTCTCCCTAATATTCCCCAAAATGGGAGATGTTTGAGAAGATTGCGAACATTTTGGGGTTAAGGACTGGCCAAGACGAAGAAGAACAGGAAAAAAACACAAATAAAAACAACATAAGAAGAGGGACAGGAGAAGAGGGAAGCACGAACCAGCACACTACGACCATGTGTTTTCACCAGTTGTTTGCTTCCCAGGATTTTGAAAGAATATGAAAATGATAACAAAAAATCATAACAAAAGTGCAAAATACACGGCGTTTATATATGTCCTTGAGGGTTGGCCATATTAGGTTGCATTGCTATCACTACCCATATTCAACCACAAAATTTTAGAATCCAAGGTGAAACGATTTTGGTCTATTATTGGGGCTGACCAAGTCGAATGACATTCACCATCTGCAGATGGTGCGTCTGGACAAAACTCTACACCATTCCACATGCAACCACCCCACACCCAGATTTAGATCCAAAGACCCGACTCACATTACAATTTGTGAAAAATGGATGTGACATAATTTTTGTCCTTTGGGGCAGACCATGTTCAATGACATGTGTTAGTTCCAGGGTGACCCCTCTGGAATGTGCAAGGATGACGCATGGACAAAAATCCACACTGCCAAGGGTAGGCTTGTGATGCATGCCTGTAGTGCCCCCCAAAAAGGGTCACAATTAAACAGGCTCATTTATAGCAGGTTTTCGTGCCACAGTTGCTTCACGCAGCATTTCGCATCAGCCCACCGTTTCTTGTCATTGCATGTGGAAGTTGTTTTTGAGGTGGGGGGGGTTAGGGGACAGGAGACACATGTCACTGTTAAAAAATTGTTTCTCCATGTTCCTGGGGTCGGGGGTTAGGATTTAACCTACAGGTCAGTGCGCTCTGTCCTGTATCTTCTTGGCTCACTGCGTGGTGATGTTCAGGGGTTAGCAACATTATTGCTTAAAAACACCAATTCACAAAGGTAGCCCTTTAGGGGATACCTTGAGTTTGTCTTGCGAAGCAAGTGCTGGGACGTCCAGGTCTAATAATTGATCGCTCAATTCAGACCCCCTCCCACCCCCCCCCCTCGAATTGAAATTTCTATTCAGCAGCCTGTCCTCCCGAGCCTCTCATGATTTCAGGATAGTTGAAACCCCCTTGAACATTCAGAAAGAGTGAATATGAAATTCTAATCACGAAAGGTGTTTTGTGAAGCACGTCAATTCTCTCCTGGGGAGCGTCTTCGTGAGCCTCTTATGGTTTCAGGATAGTTCAAATCCTATGATGTTCCGATTCAATGCCCACCGATGATCTGAGCCATGGGGCAAGTTTGTTTTCCTAAGAATCTTTTTGAACATTTCGAGAGCACATGTTTAAACATTTAAAGTGCATATGAATATATATATGTACGAAAGGTCGCCTCCGAGGGAATAAATCACCATGTCGAACATTGCATTTTTGTTCCTGCCTCTCGCGTTCTCTTCTCTTCCCGTTGTCCTATCTTTCGTGTCTCCCTCCTCTCAAGTTAGAAACAATTTCCAGTGTGAGGGCCCCCCCTTGTAGTCCACCGGGTGTGGCTATTCACGTGGCCATACTGAGGCAAGTGCCATTGGACTACATGAAGCCACCTGCGAGCCTCCGGATGAGAGGTCTGGGGTTGCAAAACAGTGCAACCGATGTAGCTTGAAGTTTTTGCAACAAAATGGTTTTGACTTGAACAATGCCCAGTCCTTTAGTCCATATGATGTTGCTAAAGAGGGGTATCAGGCATCCACATTCAAATGTATGTCAGTATGACTTAATAACAGCTCACAAAAAGAAACATTACATATATATATATAACTGTTGGAGTAGTTTATGTTAGTTGTCCGTTAAATACAATCATGCTTTCCCGCATCAAACATTATCCCCTCCGGCACTACACGCAAAATTCAGGCACAGAGGCCAGTGCCACCGAGAAACTTTTTGGACCACTTCCTGTGTGGGACCCGGCCAATTTGGGACTTGACATTTGCAGACGGAAATGTTGAATGATTTTTTGATGGGATCATGTCATGGGCTATAAACACGCCAATGAATTGGGCGGTGCAATCGGTTACAAGCCATCCAGGCCTTCAAGCCGTGAGAACACAACATTCATAGTTTTCGATGTCAACCCGACATTGGGAGTTTGATGGAGTTTGTGGCCAGCGTTCCCAGGTCCGATTATCCTTGAAGTTGCCTAGCAACCAGTCCATGGTCATGGTGCAAACAACCGGGAAAGAGGATGTGTGCGCCTCAGTGTGGCCTTGCAGCCGGCCGAGCAACTGCTTAACCGGCCAGAAAAAACTGCAACTCTAAAACGCAGTTTCAACAGTGCTGTGCGAGGTCGATGGCGTTGTTTGGATGTGACCCACCCGTTTCTACTGCAAGCTCGTTGTATGACTTCTAGGACGCCCCAGTACGCGCTCGCGATGAAAACCGTGCTTTCCTCGCGCAAGGTGTGGTTCCGCAGCGGGTGGACCATGAGGGATCCCAAGGTGCACGTGGCGTCTTGGCTGGATTGGGATAGAGAGGCCGCAGTGAGGCCACCCAACCAATTAACCATTGGTTTTTTCCTTAGGGACTGTGGGAGTCTACCCATGACGCCCATTTTGTTTAAGGGGATGGCGCGTCCTGGACCAAAAAGATGGGTGGCGGGATGTATATAGGGCCAAACGCGCTTGCTTTCAACATAGTTTGATGGTTGGGGGTCACCAGCGGACAACCCATTTTTTTGGGTTTCGCGGTGGAACCAAATTGGCTAACCCTATTTCTCCAGACTGAGGCTGTGGGTTTGCGGAAAATGCAGGCAAAATTGCAGCCCGAGGCGGACCATGGGCATCCGTGGGGTAGTGGTGGTCGTCGTGCAGCATACACCCAGGAACTTGGGCAAATCGGAAGTTTGAAGGGAGATTCCACGCAACTGTCCATGGCCAGAAGGGAATCAGGCAAGTTAAGTTAGGGTAAATGGGTGACAAGACAGCATGCAAGAGTTGTTTTCATTTCGCGGCTTCCCCGTGCCAAGTTAGTAGCTAGGCCATCGTTACTAGTTAGGGCACTAATGTATTCAAAGACTTTCCTCCTCCATTTTTTTTGTTCAGGCGACGGCCTTGGATTCGTGCCAGCCCCAGAGGGTGGACCAACTTGCCGACTGAGGGCCAACTTCCGCCCCACCGAAACTATATATTATTGTTATGGCAAACGTATACTACAAACGCGTCCTGTCCTGGTACCAATTGCGACCCTAGCGGCGAGCTCTGAATGATTTCATTCGCAGTTGAGCAGCACCCAACCAACCGCCAGTCAACTGCGGTGCTGTCTCAGGGTGCGATTGCGAATCTATGAGAAGCTTTTGAACGAGGTGAATCGGCCTTGTGTGGTGAACTGGCCTTGTGTGGTGAACTGTTGGGTTTGCATATGAGATTTGATATGAACTGTGCCTTTGAGTCAGTGGCATGAGTAGGCGATTCCTTTTGAGTCTACATGTGCTTTGTTTTGATGGGGAAGGCGATTGAAGATGGGTTTCTGAAGAAAAACGGCTCTCGGGGACTGAGTGAACCAAAAGCCCGAGATTAGAATTCAGCGTGTAAATGTAGCTTTGCCTTCACACCTTTGCTAGTGGGATCTGGTGGGTTGGTCCAGCTTGCCTGATTGCCATCCTCTTGGGCAAAAAATGCATGTGGATAAAGGGATCCTGCACATTTCAAGCAGCCAACCCCAGTCACAAAAATGTCTTGCCCCTTCTGCTGTACATCTTCTACTCAAGTGCGCTTGCTCAACTACTGGACTCCAAAACGGGTGCTCCCAGATTCATTTTCAGAACTTGCGGGGATCCTGGATGGTTCTTTGTGATCCGGCCAGGTGATGGCACCAAAGCTTTATGATCTCACTGTGGCAGGCGTGACGACTGCGCGTTGGCCGGCCAGACACCGGGATGACCTTTTTCGGGGGTCTGTGCCGAGGGCAGGCCGACAAGGCAACCACTTCTGAGTCCTTTTGAAAGGACTTAATCCAGGATGGGTTTGATTCGGTTTGATAGAATGTTTTTAATTCATCACCTGCTGTGACCTAATTACAATCCGCCAGCGGCCAGCACTGAATGGGGCATTGCATGCCGAGGCTCCACCTATGCAGTTTCCTTGGGCAATGGTGGCATGACCTTGGATTTCGCACGAAGACCCAGTTGGTGAGCAGTTCTCTTGGCGAGGGGTTCTGATGGGGTTCTGGGAATTGCACTGGGTCCAATACCCAGCCAAGGTGAAATATCAGAAACATAGTGTGGACGGATGATCAACCACCCCATATGGAGACGTTTAGACCATCCAGCCAGCGGGGACATATGGGGACTTCTTTATCAACGTCAACATTAGCAGGTGGCCTCTCAGACCTGCACGTGTTTGGACCAAGCAACAAATGTACACACCCTTTTGGCCGGTTGCAGGTCTCGCCTGGCTTGCGGGTCTCGGGGCTTGAGGGGCCACAGGGGAGTTGGGAAAACCTTGGGGCTTCCAGTGGTCCATGGAGGACTCTCTTTCACTTTTGAATCGTATCTAGGAGGCTGATCGACCTGGAATTATCAACGTAGGCTTCTTGTGACCTTGGTTGTCCTCCGCGCCTTGCCTTTGACAACTTGCCTTCAATTCAAGGTAGGCTTCCAGGGCGCCTTGCCCACGCTGATTGACAAAGCCCTGGACAGCTTCAACAGCCCCTCGGCGGGGAGCAAAGCCTGGATGATGACCAGGTTGTCTGTTCGTGCGATGACCAGTGGGTGGAAGTAACTGGGGCTTTGGATCCACCCAAGTATACACATCCTATGGGATGGATTGCCTATGTGTATACTGCCTATGGATCTGCCTATGTGTATACTTGGGCAATCTAAGTTCAGATGGGCACAAGCCTATGTTGAACTTAGATTGCCCAAGTATACAAATCCTCACCTACAATCTTCGCTACTCACTCCTAAGTGTGCCGCAGACCACCTGATTGCAAGGCTGTCCCGGCAGCAGTCACCTCATTGCAAGCACCCCTAAGGCTTCAACCAGGGCTTGAATGCCACCAAGCGCAGCCGCTTTGAGCGGATCAAGAATACTTACATGGAGGCGACGTGTTTTTTTCTTTTTTGGGCGCTGACAGGCGTTTTCTTTAGGAAAGCACCCGGCGGTCTTGATGACACTGCTTAAGGCACCGAGACTCACCGATTGAGGAGGGAAGAGCCGCCCAGGTGCTAGATCATCTCTTTTTACAAGAGATTGCACGAGGGTCATCTCGGATGTTGTTTAGGTATTGCGGTTCATTGACCAAAATAGCAACTACCATATGGTAGAGGAACGCGAGGAAACTCATTGTCCACCAAGCTTCTGTTAGAGAGTGGGGGGGTGCTGTACCTTTGCAGTCCGCCTCTTTGGTTTCAATTGTTTGGCTGCACCCCACCCTGACCTGTCTCCGTGTCTAAGTGTAGGAGTTGCAGACCTTCGGTGGCATGCCATCCAGCTATGCCATCCAAGACTTGGTCTGGGCAGCAGCCGGAGGGGGTGATGCAACACCGCGGGCCATTCGGAGGTAAAGGTGATTTTCGGTGGAGGCTCCTACAGCAGATCACTGTGCACTTCTCGACAAAGGTACTGCCAGTCTAGAATTGGTGGCGTCCAAAGCATGAACAGCAACCATTGACAGGGGCCTAGTGTCCACGAGACCCGCCCAAGACCCCCAGCAAGCGGGAGCTGAGGTTTGTTGCTTACATAGGCACATGTTTTCCAAACCTTTTGAAGGCTCTTGCCTCAATTGGTTGGGGTGCCCACAGCCTGGCCCCCCTCAAAAAAAATCATCATCTTGATTTGTAAGCATTTTTAGACAATTTTAGACTGATTTCATGGCTGGCAAAGCGTCCAGACCAGACTATTAATATACCGTGTATGTATATATATAGAGCTATATAATTACGGTAATTATGTTAGCAGGTCAGCGACATGGTCAGACCATACCACACCCACTTGTTTTTACGCCTTCCCTCCATCAAGGACCGCTTGCTCTCTCGGAACTCGTTCTCCAACGATGAGAGCAGGGGAGCATGGAGAATGGAAAGGACCCGGCATGCATGAATAGAAATGATTGCTCATGTATGAACTAGGTTGCTAAAAGAGAGACAAGTGTAAAGCTTTGGTGATGCTCGAGGAACATTTTTATCACCTGCACTAAGCAGTTCCACTATTTTCCACAGTTCAACTTTTTACATTTCAAATGCTACTAACATGCGGCATTACTCTACACTAACGAAAGCATATGAGTTGGGAACATGATTGAGACCCCCCGCACACAAACACCGTTCTCCCGAATCCTTTCTCAGAAAAGCCTGAGTAGTTTTTTTGCTTCGATTTTGCTTCATTGATCAAGACTTGGCTGAGGCCTGGCAGCGGTCAAGGGTTTGAGCTCGGGGGCCTTGTAGATCGTTTGATCAGCTCCAGACTGTCCCTATGGTTGATGAGTGGGTGACAGATTTTGAGCACTTAATTAAGCCCATTTTGATGCCCAAATGAGTTTCATGTTATCAAAAATACGGCTTTTCCTAAAGCCTTTCGATTTCCGTCACTGTTCCGGACCCCGTTTTTACGCACTGCGCAAGCCCTTTTTCTCCAGGTCTGGACGCGGCCGTCCGCACGGCAGGGGAGCTGGTGCTGCCGGGGCGCCCGGAGGTTCAACCAACCGGGCGGAACGGTGTACGAAGAAACACCTGGAAGACCGCGAGATCCTTGGTGCGAGCGGAACGTTGTCAATACATGTCAATATTAATGCCAGCAATGTAGACTCTTGATTAAGAACCCCCTCAATTTGAATTGAGCATCCTCTTCATATGGGGGGGTTAATCAAGAGTCTACATTATACCAGTAGCTTGTTTGTTTCGGGGTGCCGGACTTATCATGGATCATTAGATCGTTGTCGTAGTGACCTGCAGCTGTGTGGGGGGGTTCCCGTCCCAATGATTCTGCGTGGAGTGTTCTGAGACAGTTGGACAAATCGGTGACAAACCATTATCATTATCATAAATCATGCATGACATATCATAATTTTTAAAAAATGCACAACATATAGCATAACAGTTTTCGGAGATGGTTGGGCAGTTTTCTCTGTGCGTGTTTTTCCCCGGAGATCGCGCATACACGTCTTCGACTTCCAAGATCCAAGCCTCTCTCGATGACGGCCGGGGGCGCCGGACGGAGTGGATGGCTGTGGGGGAACGACAGGTAGTGGGTGCTGATGTCAAGTTTTTCCATGTTTTTCCTATTGGCATCTATTGGCTAATTATTTAGGGAGCTTGGGGTTCCTTCACTTTCCTCTCGACTCGGTGCCCCATGCTAAACCTGATGTTTCCCTGGATTTGTTGGGCCCAACATGTTGTGTGTCAACATGTCACAGCTACTGTACTTCGCAACAACTCACCTATCACCTGGCATTGACACAGGACAGCACCCTCCCACTTCAGCCTGCTCAAATGCTACAAACGCTGCTCAAGAGAGAGAAACATGACAGCAAAAGCGGCGGTCCTCCAAGGTCTTGCAAGACCGCAGCAAATCCAAGGTACAGTTGATCTTTTTCAGTTCAGCAACCTGAAGTTTATCAGCCACATGCGATTGACAACCCTGCCAGAGGCCTTAGCCATTGGAAACCTCGCAGACCTCCAGTCCACGGAAGTCTTGCCGGGGCCCGAGCAGCTCCTAACAACTAGCAAGTTGACAAATGTGTTCACGACCTGCGTAAAAGTTCTGAAAGGACAGCAGATGACAAGTGGATCGACAATCTTGGTGGATCAAGTGTTGCTTGTGAAGCAAATTGTTGTGCCGTTATTCATTATCCTTTTTGGTGATGGCAACTGCGCTTCCTGTAGCACGGATCAACTTGGAGATCTTATCACTTTTTTCTTTTAGCCTTTAGCACCAGCAGGTAGAGCAGACAAGGAGATAAGGCCATGGCAACACAGCTGTGGGTCAACACGAGTATAGCGACCGCCCAACTTTGTCGTCCCACAGTGGCGCACGTACCCCCTTTTCAAGACACACTAATCCCCTAAACTTACACACAACAGGAATCACAAAGGTGTGTTTTTTTTCCTTAAGTGCGTGGATATTGGCACCCAGTAAGGCCCTATCCTCCAATAGGTACCTCTTTGTGACTGCTAGATACTGCTAGTAGTTGGATGTAGCGTTCCTCTTTGCAAGCAATCCTACGCCTCCCATGAGGCACACCCGACCCCCTCGTGTTTGCAGTCCAGGAGCCAGATCGTGTCTTCGGTGCAGCGGCCCAGCTGGGTGTCACCGAAGCGGGGTGCCCAGTGGGGAGCACTGGAGGGTGACCCTTGGCATTCAATATGCCTCTCTCTCTCTCTATAGATATGTGTTAATTCTTGCCTACTTAGCTGGCGAGGCTAGAGCAAAGTGCAGCTTTAAACCAACTGGCGGGATTAATATGCCAGGTGCGCCGGCCGACCAACCCTTTCGCTGATGGCGGTGGTATAGCGGTTTGCCGGTCGAAATCACGCCAGGATTGACATGGATCCACAATCCAGACCGGACCGGTTTTCCCATAGCTTTGGCATCGCTGCAAGACGCATCGAGGCCGGTGCCCAAGAACGCCACGGTGGAGGAGGTGATGCCGGTGGTCAACATCAAGAGGTGACGGCTCAGCCGGATGGGCCCCGGATGGGGGGATGGGGCGACAAGTGGTACTTAGTACGTCAGGATTTCAAGCTAACTACTCGAGTTCCTGTCGCGCCTGTTCCGCCTGCCGCTGCCGATCCTGTAGCGGTAGCGCCTACCGTGCGTGGTAGCCCAACCAGCACCATTGAGTGGCGTTTCCCGAAAAACCATGGCTGTGCCCGTAAATTTTTGGGACTCCTTCTTTCAGTGGTCTTGGAGGACTCAGGCTGTGGATGGCTGGGTGTAAAGGCATGTGAAAAGTCTTGTTTGGATTCTGATCATGTTGCGGTGGGTGGGTGTTGATAAGTCATCTATGCCACCTGGGATGCGAAACGGACATGTGTATCCTACATAGTCCTACTGCATATTTAAGCAACATGGACGGTGGATCTCTTGCGTGAATTGAACTATGTGGATGATACAAACCTTTCAGACATTTGCACCATTATGTGGAGCACCCATCCACTCAGTGCATCATCCCTAGTATAATGAGAATTGTCAAAATGCACTGAGCAAAGTGCCTTTGCAAGATGAAATCCAAATAGTCCATGCACATGGCATCACATGGCCAGATTATGCCAAATAGGATCAAATAGGGCACTTGCCGGTTCCTTAGTATCCTTCTATCATAGGTCACTCTTTGGCGTTTACCTACTACTGTAAAGTACGGCATGTACCATGACCACTGCTACTGTATGTGCTACAACCACCCGTGGCAAGTCGTTGCCAGGCCCATCGAGGTGCGTGAAGCCAACCCCCGGCACGGGGATCCCAACGATGCCTGGGCGCCCATGTCGATGCATATCGGCACAACATATGTATACTGTATACTTACACACTATTCCTTTTTTAAGCAGAATATATATATAGTATAATATATATATATTCAATACATATGTAACTATATCAAAAACATGCGACTCTTTCCTGAAAAGTTTTTGCGCCAGTTTGGCTCATTTCAGCTGCAGAGTCAATTCCCACTTAGTGCTGCTTTGGGTATATCAGGGCCTCGCCGATGATCTCCAGCGCGCGGCTGAACTTCAGAGTCCTTCGAGTTCCGTATGCATTATGGAGCTGCCGGCCACATTTCTTCAAGGCTGCGAGCACCAAGGTAGACAAGGAGAAGATGCAGCGTCGCTTCGAACGCCTAGTGAGCCTTCTGAGACGGGTCGAGCGGCCGCACTTGGAGTCTTTCGAATGCTTTGGGACAATGCACACACTGCCTTTGCGTGCAAAAGATGCCAAGATAGAAGAGTGCAGCGACGAGACCCTGGCTTACTTCAGCGGCTTTTTCGATGGTGATGGCTGTGTGACCATGGCTTCAAAATCTGGCCGAATCAGGCTTACGGTCGGCCAATCGGTTCGAGGAGCTGACATATTGGTCCGGCTTCGTTCAGCTTTTGGCGGAGGTATATGCAGACACTCAGATGGTTGCGGCTTGCAAAGGCCCAGGCTGCAGTGGTGGGTTGCGGGCAAGGCTTCGAAACGTGCCGCAGCATTGCTAGCTAAGAATTCCTACATGAAGCAAGCACAACTCCAAATAGCATCACATGGGGATGTCGTCACTGAGGAGCGCATTCAAGTTGCACAGCAAATGGAGGACCTCAAGGCAAGGAATCATGTGCCAGAGAATTTCGCACATATGTCATGGCCATACTTCGCTGGTTTTTTTGATGCTGAGGGTTGCATCACGGTGAAAAGCTACAGCTGTAGCTTGGTCCTTGCAGTTGCACAGGTCAACCCATTTGTTTTGAAGCTTTTGCACCGGTTCCTGCACGAACAGGGGCTGGAAGGCTGGAAGTTGCGTTGTTATGCCACGCCCATGGGTGACGTTGCAACACTAAGTTGTTTCAAGCTGGAAACTTGTAAAAGTACCTTGCGTCAGCTCCTGGACTGTGGCCTTGATTTGAAGCGGGAGCAGGCTCACATAGCCCTGCGGCTCAGTAGAGACAATCATTGCAAGATACGAGAATCATTGTTTGACCTTGGTGGCCAGCAGTCACGGTACAGGAGCTTGGATCATCGTGGCATGCAACGAGCCAGGGAAATTCACCTGATGCACACCCGCCTCCAGACATGCCGAAACAAGGAGAGGTCAGAGGAGATGGAAATCCAGCTGCGCCAACTCGTGAGAGACCATCAAGCTCAGCACTTGCAGTCAGCCGGCAGTCGGATCGGTGCCGACATTCGACGCCTGCTCCGTGAGGGTGCATGGATCAAGCCGCTGGAAGCAAGGTAACGGTAAACATGTATCGAGAAGCAGGACAAAGATTCCCATGCTGCAACAAAATTGTTCGCCAACGCCGATCTCCACTGGGCCATGCTGGACCTGCGCAATGCGTTTTTGCTGGCCAGGCCCCATGAGCAGAAACATGCAGAAACAAACTTAAAAAGTACCACTGCAGGGGTAGTCAGTGAAAACGTTTGAGTGGAGGCCGAAGGCCCCGTCTAAATTGATTCTGACTGCGAGCGCTCTGAGATTTGTCCTGGCCCAACTTATGTCAATGGTGTTAACATGTGTTAACATTGTGTTAACATCTTTTTTGCAGACAGCAGTGCAATTTTCTAGTGAGCTGCTATTTGGATTCCTGAAGTTCAGGATGGGCGGCATGACATGAGCGGCCCGAGCGCATAAACTTAAAACCAATATCAGCAGTAGAATTGTGGTCCAAGCAGGAACCCACTCGTGCAATTCAACTGGAATATTTTCCATGTCTCCCCTTGCACAAGTCCTTTGGTCGAGCCCCAAGTCCACCATGAAATGATCCAAGCCTATCCAAGTGCAGACTCACCATTGGCGCAGCCTCGGCGCAAATGAATCACCACTATCACCACTCCTCCAGCTTGCAGTCTTTGAGGTGGCGGTGGTGAGCCTGATCCATGGCGTCGGAACACCCAGCACGAAGACGTTGGACGCGGGGCGTATGCGGGGCGTGGCCGATCCCACGTCATGGCCTCGACTCAGGTGACCGATGTGCCAAGCCGTTGGGGGCCTCGGCTGGAGTGGAGGGAAGGACGGGGTGGTTTCAAGCAGGTCTCAGACCGACGATTGGGGGTAGCACGGAGCACGGCGGTAGCACAGGATTGGGTGCGGGGACTCAAGTCGTCTGGAAAGTCCGTGAAGTTGTGGGCCACGTCTCGATGATGGAAGGACTCATGCTCATCCAAATTGTAATATTTACTATGTGTCAGGTTGGCCCGCAATGGCGCGCACAGTTTCAGATTTGATGGAGCATACTGTCCGCAGCCAACCTGGCACCCTTCAAGCAGGAGGTTCGCCCTGCTGGGCGATGTATTTAAGACTCCCTTTGGATGATGACATCGTCATTTGGTCATGGCAACATTTGATTCACACACGCCCAATGTCCGTCCGAGGTGTTATTTTGGGCATCGCTTCAGCTCTGCTGGGCACTGCGGCCTTCGACAACCTGCGGACGCAACAGCAGTTGGGCCCGGACGCTCAAGCACATTGCGGTGAGTCGCTTGTTTGTAATTGCTACTTGTTGTTGCTTCCGTTGTTGTTGTTGTTGTTGCTTCTGTTGTTGTTGGTGTCGTGCTTGTGGCACAGTTGCTTACTACCTTGCTTTGGCTTGCTGTTTGTTGCACGTTCCGTGCGCTGCTCTTATTGCTGGCAGGAAACTGGAGGGATCCTGACGTAGAACTTCAACCGCACGTTCTGGATTGTAGGCCCCTAATGGACTCCCAATGGATAAGGCTGACATGGGCCGCCTAAGCTCTGTTGTGCTGCTTGGGGCCGGGTGGGGGTGGTGGAAGTGGATGCTGCGGGTCGACTTTCTCTGGCATAGTCGGGTGATCGGCAAGTATTATACTGGCCCATTATATATTATATACATTTAACTACATGTGCATCACATCTGACGAACCGTTTTTGTTATGGGTGGGGCTGTCACAGTAATTAGTTAGTGTACAGTAGTTGCAGGAGGTTGTAGAGCAGAGCACCCTAGCTTGACGAAGAAGTGGATACTTTACTGCTCTTGACTGCTTGATACTTGATGCCCTTGATGACTCTTTCTCATTGCAACACCGCCCGAGCTGTGAAGCACTCCAAAGAGCAGCTCGGTCAGACTTGACTGAAGACTCTGCGTCTTGGTCCGGCGAGTTGTGGTCTGCACATGCATGGGTTGTTCAGCTAGTGGCTGCTACCCGTCAACCACGGCCTAGGCTACGTGGCAGGGGCCTCTGCACCCGTGGACTCCACTGAAGGGCTGGAGGGACTGCTTACTGTGAGCAACGGTTGGGAGGAATCACCGGCCAAAAAGGAACAGAATGATACAGAATGGACATGAGTGGACTACCAGGGGTGTCGACCTACCATACTTTGGCGTGTCCCGGTCTTGACCCACAGTCACATTTTGGAGTTTGTGCTTTTTCCCTGAAGCGGGCTCCGGACTCTGCACATCCAGGCTCAGGGAGTATATAAACTATATATTCAAGACCAGAGCTGACAGATTGAGACTAGTTCATCAACAGAGTGTGTGCCAGGGGGGTGGCGAAGAAGCGGTTTCTTTTCCGAATTGCTACTTCAAAGATTCGCAGTTGGAACTGCAAAACGAGCTCTTGGGACCATTGTTTGAGATTCGCATGGGTTTGCCAGGAGTGGGAGTCGCGTTGATTGAATCGCTGTATGGGTTTCCACGGAAACGGTGCTGCAAGAGCAGTCACGAAATTGACCACTGCCTGGCACCATTATTGATCCGCACACCGCCTTCATTGCTGAGGTGGGTGGCGGAATGAGCACCATCTCAAATGTGAATCTAGTGCCACTTGGGCGTTGAGAAGCTGCTGTGCATGGAGGGAAGTGGATAAAAATTGAAGGGCCAAGTGCCAACATTCTTTCCGCCTCAGTGTGATTCCACATGTCTACCACTGCAAACCCTGCACCCCAAAAGGTTTGGGTTAGGGCGGCCTGAAAGAAACATTGGAAAACAACGAAGAACCGAAAAGTCTGGGCCAGGTTCCTGAAGCACGTTTCGAACCATTTTCACGGCACCAGCATAGACCAGAATAGGGCACCAGCAGTGGCACCAGCATATTCCAGCAGAATAGGGCCTAAGATGCCCTAAGCATATTCCAACATATTCCAGCATCCAACACCTCACCCTGACCCTCCATCCAACACATCCTCCACCACCATCGACCGGTGTACCCCCGGGACCCTCCGAGGCGAGTGGTGGTGCAAGGCACCAAGGTGAACGCCGATGAGGCGGAAGCGGCGATCGAAGGCGAGGGTGAGCGAGCGAGCGAAAGGCAGCAGGACGAAGTGGGGCGGGGGCGCACGGTGTGGGGGGAAGTGGGAGATTTTCCGTGCAGGGTGCAATCAGGAGAAAAAGCATGTCAATCCAGGAGAAACGATGAACTTGCTGTTCATCTTTTTGTCCACAGGGTGGTGGGCGATGTGTCATGGTTTTGAAGGGGCCCGTGCCAAACCTGAAGCACCAGGAAGTACCAAGTTTCTTCATTGAGGTGTTTGGCATTTTACCGAAACGGACAGGAGGTTAGTGGAGCGTGGTCCGGTTTCTCTATTCCATTGGGATTGCATGGAGTCCCTTACCACGGGACACACCATATCCATCCCATGTTGTTGCGGAACAATTCATGTTGATCATCACCGTGAAGATCCGTGAAACATGGTGCAATTGATTGTGTAGCGCCAAGTGCGCTTGGAACTCAACATCGCTCCTCATAAACCGCTCTTCCATCTGAGTTTTCTCCAACCATCATCACTACCAGGATCATCCAATAGGTGTCCAATGAAGGTCCATGTGTACCTGCAGGTGGTGTATTGGCAACCCTTTGGATGATCCAGGCATGTTATGACGTTATGAGTTATGCTTGATTTGAAGCTAGGCCGACGATCTGTAGTTCTGTCCGACCTCAAGCATCGCCCCCCTCGGACCTGCGAAGGCCTTTTGACCAGCACCATGCCGAAGATCCTGCGGGATTTGACGCTCCGGCGGAGTGGCTGGGGGAGATGAGAGGTTTGGATTCCCCGCAATGCTATGCTAGTTTAGCTACTGTGGTTGTCCTTTTTGGGGGAGAATGTCGCAGTTGGAGTATGTCATGCCAGGTTCTTGTGCACTTTTCCAAGTGACGAACATGTAGAGCTTACGGTCCTTGACAACTGTCAGGAAGCCCCGAAGTAGTCCGCTTGGGATTTTAGGGGGTTGCGAGCAACTAGCTGCCCCTAGCGCCATGACTGGGTAGCTGGATGCAGCTGGTGTTTCACAGCAAGGTGGCAGGTCTTCGGATGAAGCGAGTGAAACCCTAAAAGATGTGCATGCAATTCTGTACGACTGAGGAGCGTGGATGACTTCAAGGGTCAGGCACCATCGATCGAGCCGGACAGATGGAGTATGATGGAGTATGGTGCTAATTGAATCCAATTGATTGGGTTTTGTTGGCTTTGCTTGCATGGGCTCGGAGATCAGATCAACATTTAAGAATATAAACTCATGTGATCTCATGTGCAGATATCAGTGATATCAGTGACCAAAGTGGATTCCAAAGGTTTGTAAACAGCACCCACACGGGTCAGCAGAATCTAAGCGGTTGGCTCTCTGATCATCTCTGATCTGTCATGCATATCCCAAAATCGGGCTCCTTGGCTTTTCTACACCTCGCGGGTGAAAATGTGTCTGGGTGAAGAAGAAAAACATCTTGGGGGCCTTGGACTTTTGGGTTATTTTCCCACAACTCCATGAAATCGTTGGAAGAAAACCACTGGCCCTGCTGAAACTTGCCATGTTCTGCGTCGCATGGAGATACATGGAGTCTCACTCCGACCTTCCACATCCGACCGCACCCGGCCGCACCAGGTGGACGCCTATCGCCAGCAACTCCTAGAGCCCCCCTTGGCGGCGTCCGGGGGCCGCCATGGGGTTTAGAGGCTGCAGAGCTCTGAAGGGTGATCAGATAAGATGAGACGTATTTTTTCGCACTCAAACCTCTCCTCACATGTGTTTTTTTTGCAAGCCTCTTCAGTACTTGAGTGTGACGGCATTGCTGTGGGCAGACCTTGAAGATCCCTTGAAGCTGTTGATGCATTGCATGTACAGTGTCATTGACTCATATTTCCGTTTCCTAGAGAGAAGAATGAGAAGATGCCCTTCCACATCATCTTGATCCCAACAAGCATTTGCCAATCGTGATGCTTGGATTGCTTGAGCAGAGCAAACATGTTTTGTGAGGGTTGGACCGTCTGGCTGGTGGAATGAGAAAAGGTACCAACACGCCAAAAGGACATGAGGATAGGTCACAACCTGGAGCCCCAACATCATGTAGCTTGACCTTCCAAGTAGGTTTTGAGGCTGGTCGGTCTCCTGGTTTTCACCCACAGCCACATATCAACTAATTTCTGTGTACCAATCCTAGCACATCCTAACAACACAGTCAACAGCGGCCCTCATGATCCGGTTCTCCTGAACTTGTGGCTGTCGCCGTTGGCAGAGCCAGTGGCCGGCCGGTTCAACCAAGGTCCGACGAGGTGACGCACTTCTGGGCGCACATCACCCAAGGCCAGACACCCGGCAGCTTCGGGAGAGCTGCGGCTGCAGTGCATGGGAGGGTGAGATGGGTAAAGATGCAGACGGACCACCGTCCGTTCCAGCCCCCTCCCTCCACCAGTATGTCATCACCGTGGGCTGATGGGCCCTCGGTGATGCCAGCTTTGTGCTGCGAGGTGGTCGCTGCATGGATTTGTTGGACCAGGTCCTCCAGTTCTTGGACAGCCCCGCATGCAGCAAGCAACTGCCACCGCCCCAAATGACGCCAAGGGTCGCTTTTCGTGTTGGCCACTGCGGGGGCAGGCAAAGTGGCGATACTCAGAAGTCATCAGAAGCCATAGATGGATTATTTAGATTATCATTGATTGTATAGATAGTGAATTTGCATGGTGAGTGGGGTTTCCTATAGCATATGCATATGACAAACATGAAGCACATATTCAGATGTAATATGATGTATTTCGTGTATTGAGTTTGGATAAATGTTGAGTGCTTCGCTTTCTGCCCAATCACGCTTGCGCTCCAGTGCAACGCCTATTTTATCCAATTTTCTTTGACTTTCTGACTATTTGAGGTGAGAGACCGCCAGCACGGTCATTTTGGTGTCACTGACATATCAATACTGTCAATGCTAGTAACTATCACCGGTTGCTATATTTCGAGAAGGCTAAGAGTGCAGCTTGCTGGTCTTCCTCGAATCAAGGCTTCTGGACACCTGGAACAACTTGGTCTTCGGGAAGTCGGACAAGGCGTCATCCACCGAAAGAGCAAGTGCCAGACGCTTTTTGAGGTTCCGCGGGGGGAACGCAATGGGAAACACGCAGTGAAGCATGTTGAAACAAGATTCGAATCCTTTTCACTCTGGGACTGGGACGCTGTGTTTCCAATGGGCAGTTTTCGGGTGGTGTGAAACCACACACACACACACTCACGGGATAATGATTTTGGCAAATGTTGTTGTTGATGTAGAGATACGTGGAGCTGCAAGGAACGTGGACGCATTCATCACCGATCATATATAAAATAGGGGTTTGCCGGTTTGCCCTCAATTGTGGGGAGCCTGGCCTGGCTTTTGCCAATTCAGTGCTTTCAGTCCCGGCCACGTGCCAGGATCCCCAGCTTTCTTTAGCCCCCATTTTTTGTGATATGAGCTGAGCTGCACAGAATCAACCCGGCTTGGTCCACATGCCTCCCCCGTGCTGCAAAGGGCGACAAATCCATGTTGCGGAAGAAGATCACTGCCACTTGGTGATGGATTCAGTGGACTTGTTCCCAAAAGACCTTCACAGGTATATACGGGGACACACCCACTGCTCTTGCAACTCACATTTAACTATATGGTTGGAGACGACCACCAATATGTGACAGACGAAGATGCAGCACCCGCCAGAACAGGGTTGGCTGCCCAAGGATTGGCAGATCGGAATGGGAGCCCTACCAAGATCACCAAGTGATATGATCCCATGCATTCACCCCCCACTGGACAACAGAAGGGCTTCTTATTTCAAAAACATGAAGGGCTGTTGCACCTTTCTGGAGAAAATGCCTCACTGACCTCCTACCACCCAGCACAAACAGAGTGGCTTTGAGCCGAGCAAGAAGATAAGGTAGGCCCCTCACGCTAGTTACAGAAAGGCTCCTCAACAGGAACTCAAACGCGTCAGGGTCCCAGAGTTGAATTGTTGGGAAAGGACGTCCGCAAAGATGAAGTTCTATTGCCATCTATTGCCTAGTAATTCGCTGTTTGCGGCAGCAAAGCTATAACGTATATATAGATTGGACATGTTCCCTGCGGGGGGCCTTGCGGTTCTTACAGATCACGAATCATGCTTGTTTTCCATTGCGGTTCTTACAGATCACGAATCATGCTTGTTTTCCATTGGGTTCTGGATCTTCGGGGAACATTGATTAGTTTGGAACCTGCTTCCTCATGCCAAGTGCTTGCTTGCCCCACACCCAAGGTGCACGCCATTGTTTTTTCAGAGCTCGGCCTGTCAGATGATCCGCCTGCGGTGACCCGGTCCGCTGACACCCGCAGACCTCCAGGCTCAAGGTTCTGGTGGTGAAGGCAATTCGCTCGGTTCATCCCCATCGCCGCCCCCGAGAAACCGTCACAGCCATGGTCGAAGTTGAAGAGCCCCAGGCCATGCGGTCGGTGGCCGGGACTCAGGGGCTGCGAGAGTGATCGGTGGTCGGCTGCGGCATGGAGTCGGTGCCGCGAGTCGGTGCAACTCACTCAACACTTAAGTCTATAGACACTCCGGTGAATTCGGTTTCGAGTGAGTTCTTGCTGGTATGTCTTGGATGGGCCGTTGGTGAAGGAACTCTTGGATAGCCTCTTGAATGAATCCTGCACACTAATGTTATATACTGATGTTTTTTTTTCGACGTTTGCTCACAATGAGCAACAAGGAATCCAGAAAGCCGGGCCTGTAAAGAAGCGTGTTCATCCTGGTCTTTCAACTAAAAATGTACTACCGTTTATGCTACAACGTGCTGTTTATGCTCAGTAAGAGACTGGGTCTATCGTGTTTGCCATGAAATCTTCCTCCGGTCCCTGCTATCCATCTCTGGGAGAGGTGCTGGAGATCTACATTTGTTTGCTGGGATGTTTGGAAGTCTTGGGTTGAGATGTGTATATCATGCAGTGCGCCGCATAAGCATTATATATAAATTGTGCGAGCAGCCTCTGGCCTCAGATAGCCAGAAGGTCAAAAAGTATTTCGATCAATATGTGCTTCTGTCTTGCTTGTGGCTTGTTCTGGCGAGGACTACCTTGATGTCTTCCAATCCCAGCGTGGAGGATTCAGCTTCGAGAATTGCAAGAGGAATGCCTACCTGGCGGCGCAGGCATTGGTCGGGGTCGGTCGGTGAATTCGTCAACAGTTTCGTGTCTGGAAAGAAGTCGAAAGAAAACGACACGAAACTGTAGGGTCACTACATAGATGGCCGGAATTTTCCGCGAGCCGAGCCGTGTGAAGATCTTTTACACTGCACGAGTGGGGAAGGGGGAAGATATAGACTACCACGAGCTTTAAATGATACCAGTTTCGGCGATGTATCCATCAAGAAGATTCAAGAAGGCCATCCTTTTCCTTGTCTTCACGCAGAAACGGATCACTCTTGTCCCAAAAAAACAGTCCCTTTTCCATCTGTGCCCTTTCCATCGTCGCCCCATTTCGAGGCGAACATCAAGCCGCCCACGGCGATGAAGTCCGGCACCACGATCTGTGGGATCCAACTCAAGGTGCGAGCGAGCAAGCGATGTGAGGGATGGGAGGTTCAATAGGGTGAATGAATGGGGACTGGGTGGGAGGTAGCAGAAATGGACAGGAGTGGGCATGAGTGGGGAGTGGCTTGGGCTTGCAATGACTCATATGACCTCCACTGGAAATCACTCACCTTCAACTGCAATCAACCAACTATTCTTCATCCCCCTTCCATCCGCTATGGATATATAATGGATGTGCACATGTTTGTGTTTCTCAATCCGTCAGGATGCTGTGATCCTAGCAGCCGACACCCGGGCCACAGAGGGGCCGATGGTTGCGGACAAGAACTGCCACTGAGCGCGAGCGGTGGAGCGGGTGGTGATCACGGGGGTTTGATTGAGAGTTGATGTTGAGGGACCTGGTCAGTTTGCAGATGTTGGCAGTGCGGTCACTTATCTCTCCAAGACCATTTTTAAAACAGTCTTTAGGTGATCCGAAAAGGAATTTCCTTTACTGGGGTGGTGCCGAAAATAGTCTTTGGACTTCTAGGGTTATACTTATTTTACACAACAAAGGGGATCAACACTTTGCTGGAAGGGTTGTGTACAGATGTGTCACGTAAAGTATTGAAGTTTGTTATTGCAATGCTGGATTCCTTTTTGTCGAGGTGTCATGCCTTTCGACCTTCTGCTTGTTCCTGTAAGAAACAAAGGGCAGCTCTATGCAGCTTTGCTGGGGTCAAGAACTCTACAGGTCGATCCGGTGAATTTGTATGGACGGATATGGACGGGGATTTCCAGCTGATTGACGGATCTCGGCCACCACCTGAATTGTGGTCGACAGGGAAGATGGTCTTGTTACTTTAGACTTTAGACTCATGTCGGGCGCGCCAGCCATAGATACAAGGAGCCAAAATAATATTGTAAAGCAAAAAATGTAAAAAACGCAAAAGGTAAAGCAAACAAAGCAACAAACATGTAGCAGTGTAGCTGTGCGTGTTTGTCGCTTTTGTTTCACTCTTTTTTTTCTTTCGCTTTTTTCCTAGGAGCGTACTGCAAATATTTAAAGTTCTCATAAGTGCAGAAGTGTTACCAGGAAAAAAGGAAAAAAACAAACAAATGCAACAACAAAGCAAATTGCGCTGCTTTTGCATGTTCATTTGCTTTTGTTTTGCATTCTTTTTCTCCCGCTTCTTTTTTCACAAAAAACTATTTCATGGTTGGTCATGTATGGCTGCCACTGCCCAACATAACTTTAGACCTTCCTTTCTCGGGAGGATCTCATGTCTCCACCAGGCCCCCCGCTTTGAGGAATCCAGATACTCTTTCGTGGTGTCCTGCCATGTCCTGGGAGTCCTGGATGGGTTTTGCATGCTGTCAAGAGCTCTCTACGAATCCAAGGTGAGAAGCTCCACTACATCTCCAAGAACGTCTTCTGTGCAGGAGCCGGCACTGCCGCAGACCTACAGTGCCACGGCCGTTGGGCAGGGCACGAAGGCTCCCTTGATTGACTTTCTTTGTAGAGTTGGTGGGGGATGGACCACACACCCTTTAGGAGAGGAGCATTTAAGTTTGCTCAGGAGCTATCCTGCCTGCATGTAGGCGCAGGGGCTAAAGGCCCTTTTCGGCCTAACATCACCTGAAAAGGTGCGATACAGATGGGACTAGAGCCTAGCCCTATCCATGACGAGAGTTGAGTTGATGCTAGCTGGACAGATTAGCATGATCTTGCTGGGGTGGATAAGGTGCTGACGCATGCAGGCTCTTGATTCAATCCAAAATGGGACAGTCTCCTGATTCAGAGGTGGGCATGCTGGATGAGCTTTAGATTCATCCAGATTCCATGTGAAGGAGCGTGCTTGGGGATCTGGTGTAGGCGGCCCGTGGCTCCCAAGGCACACCTGCGAAATGATGGAGTCGCAGATGGAGCTCCTGCGCATGGCCACCGGCACCGAGCCACGGGTGTGCACCGTGGTGCGGCGCCTGAGCTCCATGCTCTTCAAGTATCAAGGACCGAGCCATGGAAGCGACCGGGAGTGAGCGACGGTGAGTGTCTCAGGCGGCCTGATGGCGGATGGCCAAGGGGCCTTGGCCGCGCTGGGCGGAGGTGGTGAAGTTTCGAGGGTGGTGAAGGCCAGATGGAGCAGAAAGGATGTCAATATATATTTTTTATATAGTGACTAAGATGCCTCTAGCTCATGAGATCCACAGGTCATTCGGACGAGGTAGATCATCCATGATCACCCCAGGACCTATACGCCAGGTGAAAGCCAATTACTGTAGATTTTAGGGTCTTGCTTTGGTTTTCAAGGCTCCTTCCGTCCTGGCCGTGCTTGCCGCCGCGAGGATACATTGGCTGCGCCTTAGTTTTGGGAGGCACGGCCATTTTTGCTCAACCACCTGATTTTCCGAAAACTCCCAGCGTCCAGCGTTCCTTCCTTTGCTTGGCTTTGCTGTTGTGTAGTGTGTTTGGCTGGCAACATTGGCTTTCAAAAAGAGACTTCAAGGCACCATCACTGCAAGACCCTTGGAGTATGGAAATTCTTGTTCCAAATTCGATGGCGCCCAAAGCACAACCAGTACAGAGTGACCCCGGGATCTCATGGACTGAGCTGACCTTGTAGTTTCAATTGTCATGTCGTTTCTTTGCGGTTTCTCGCGCTGCCTCCAGACAAGCGCACGAGGTGTGGACGTGACCGGCCCGCACCTCTACCAGATCTACCCCCATGGCTCAACAGACAAGCCCCGCGGCAAACTGTTAGGTGTGGGGTGGAGGAAGATGTTATTCACAACGTCCAGCACTAATTAGACTTTTAATTATGGATTTGCATGGGTTTGCTTTGGTGAATGTATTTTAATTAGATGAGTATACCTCCGAGGTTCTTAGGTGAGACATTGCAGGGTTGGACCTTCGTGAATTCTCACACTTATCGCGGGGCAGGAATGATATCAATTAGCTTAATTGCTATCAGCAGCTACACCTGGTGAAATCATATGATACGAGATGTAACCTAGCATTAGCCATGCCAACACAAGTTTTGCAGCACCTCCTCTCTCCAACTCGTGAAGTGAATCCTCCACAAATAAGGGCTTGTCCATGTGCCACCCCTATCATAATTTCGGAAGATTTCTGAAGGATGTTTAACCTAGACTCGCCCTCTCAGGCTCCGATCTCGTCGCATTCCCCTCAGCCGAGACAAATGGTCGAAAGAAGATCCGCGCAGCACGGCCGAGCCAGGCTTCCTTTCACCACCATGGGCAGCGGCTCTCTGGCCGCGATGGCCATCATGGAAGCCGAGTACAACGAGCCGCGCGGAGGAAAGCGCGGCAGCGCGCGCGGAGGGCGGAGGGCTCCGTGGGGGGCTCGGCATGTGTTCTCACTGTGGAAGGCATCAGAGCCGGTGCAACTATTATAGCAACTGCCAGGACTGTCCAAGGGGTGTCCAATGGAAACCCACAAGTATAGGGTATAGTCGGTATATAGTCTATTGAAGACCCCTTGGATGGTCCAAGTAATTATATATATCAGTGAGCAGAATCTCCACGGCACGGTGGAGTGGGGGAGGCAAAGGCGACCGAAGCTGCAGAGGGTACGACGTACACCCGACTCCAGGTAGATAGAGTTACAGGATATGTGGTAGCTGCTTGCATGTGCGGCAGCATGGCACTTCGCTGCTCAATCAGAAGGCTCGGGTTCAGATCGCTCCTGCACATATGTCTTATAGAAGAGGATGGGAGTGAGGGTGGGTACAGTAATTGATGCACCTGTTGGATTTGTTGGAAGTTTAGCGAATAATTACATGCGATTACATAGCCCACATGTATGTAACAGGTAATCTGGGTCTTGTTGACGCAGCCTTTTCGAGAGAAATCACAAAAAACAACTTAGGAACTTGAGCATCGAAGATGGCAAGAAGCTGGTGGCCAAAGCAATTCGAGCGGCTTGGAGTTTGGCACCGCACGTTGAGCGGCACGTTGATTCGTCCGAAGCCACCTCACCACGGTGAAATGATGTGAAATGTCCGTCGCTCATTTGTGAAGTGTGTGGAAGGGCCACCCCACTCTCTTCAGATGGGAGATCCTCAAAAGGCCGTGGTTTTCAAGGCAAACTCCTGGCGGGGAAGAGATGAAGCATGTCGGGAATTGGAAAGAGTAAAAGTTTGGATCTTTGAAGATGCCTGAGTACATGAAGCGCAAACTTCTGGAGGCCTAGAGCTAAGGTATAGAGGTTTTTCACAGACAAACCCTCATGCCCATCGATGTCCGCCACCTTGACCGCCGTTCCGTCCGCTGCGCGGGACACCCAAGGCGGGCATTTTCAACGACCTGGGCTCCGGTGGCAACGTGGACGTCCGGGGCCCCGGTGTCGAGTCGTCGGCCATGGTGAGGGTTTCATCCGTAGCCACTGGGTAAAAGGACCCATAGCAGAGCATAACAGAGCAAAAGATCCTGGGTGTATTGGGGGTACCTATCTCTCTGGGGGTCCATGAGTCTCGTGCCAGCTTGTGCCCCTTTTTGAGCCACCTTTTTGGTTTGCACGTGCCCCCTGCAAAAACATCCAGAAGACACTTCCTGGCCAATCCCCGGTATTGCATAAACCACCACTTTTGGACTGGAACGGGCTAGGTGGGTGGAATCATGGTTGAGCCTTAGAGCGAAAATGGGATGTCGTGTGCAGATGTGTGCAACGTGTGGTAAACGAGGACACATCGCCCCGCGCATTGATTGTTTCATATTGAGTCCACTCAGGAGGATCGCAATCACTTCCTCGTTTAGCAAAATGCTTCAAAAGGGCGATGTGTTTCTCGTTTCTCAGAACGGGAGAACTGGATACAAGATGAATCAAGATTATGACATAGTATAAAATATACTTATACGGAACCTTCCCAAAGTTTCAATTGACTCAACGGAAATCCACCCCTCCGAGCTCGTTGCTTTGATCGATCGCACCCGCAATCGTTCACGCTCCGATCTGGGCGGCTTTGGTTTTTGCGCCGTCCGTCCTCTAAGGTCTGCGTGATCACCAAGGAGACCGGCGGTGCCATCCTCCGGAACTATGAGAAGCCCAACGAGTGGCTTGGACGACCAACGAGTGGTCCCACTTAGCGCAAGTTAGTAGGTGGCAGCGCCTTGACCTGACTCAGATGTCGAGCCATCAGAGCCAGGATGTCCAACCCTTAGTAGTGTAAAGCTGAAGCAAGTTGACGATAGGCCTTTCACCACTAATTCCAGCGAGAGAGAGAGAGAGAGAGACGTATGTGCCTGCCAGTTGCATGACGAGCCCCTCCCAGTGGCCCCCACTGACCTCCGGATCCGACGGCGCGACGGATGTCCGCCATCCCAGGCGGAAGTTCAAAGCCCAGCACGCGGCCTTCCCCAAGGGCACCACGCCCATCCTCAAGGAGGAGCCCAACGACTCGCATGGACTCGTCGATGGGAGGTCGGTCAGGTCGGGTCAGGTGCTGGGAGGGCTTTTTTTCTCGAAGAGGAGGACCATGGAAGAGGAGAGACTGTGGTCGGGAACCTCTCGTTTTGGCAGTTTGGGGGGGGGATCTCATTCTGGGCAGAAACCTTTGAAGGAGGGCAGAGGCGATGTTTCTACCAGCCTGTCAGCTGCACGTCAAAGGGTGAAACGATGTCAGAAGCCTTAGAATGAGAAGGTTTGGGATTTTGTGGCCGGATCTTTGATGGTGGGGGCCACAGGGGGGGACAGTTGATCCAGACCAGTCTCAGTTTGCTTGCAGAGTGCATTTCTTCGACGCACATCAGATATAAATGAATCGAAGGAAATTGGACATGGGAGTGGGTGACATGACAGTCCTCTAACATCTCCAACAAGTCGTGTCCAATCTCTTTGTTGATGCAGTGACGGCACAGGCAGATTGTAGAGAATACCGTTTCGGGAGGAGGGGAACTGTTTTTTTGTGAAGGAGAGTAGCTTGGACACTGAAACAGTGCGAAAAAGGTGCTTCAGAAGTTCAGAAGGATTCAGAAGGCAGGTATGGGGCAAAATGGGCATGATCTCCTTGTCACGAGGAGATCATGAAGCTGGTATCAGTGGAAGAAGATGTCGTCATGCGAGACTGAACCAGAGGCACGGCGTTTGGGTGACGGGGAGCGGCGGGAATGTTTTCTGGCGATGGTGGACGCTTGTTGCGAACCTCTATAGACTGCCAGGCTGGAAATTCACCTTTGGACTCTAGACAGCCTTGACTACGCTGGATAGAAACGTGGTCCTCCGCTTTCATGCAGCAAGGACGGCTGGTCCAGGTCCACAAATCCCGGGTGTCCCTAGATTCCCTAAGTAATCTAAGTAATGTTACATTTCTGGAAGTGGTTGACTTGTTAAGGTTCACCATGGTTCACCATAATATACGCTGAGCCAGCAACTCATGATGAGTTACCACCCTGGAGCCCTTCCTGTTGGGAACATGGAAACTTGAAACGGATGTTGCAGGCTGAAAAGGTGGCGCTGCTGGTCTTTTGCGGTGAGAGAATGCAATGAACAGATTGACCGCGAACCCATATGAGGAACAGTGCTGGATCCAAGCTCTTTGTCATTGTGCTGGCGGAAAAGAGAGCGGCTGTTCCGGTGTTTGTGTGAGTTCTGGCAGGTGCTGGAACTTGTTGCGAGGCGATGAGGTTCTGCCATGTCCAGACCAGAAATTTGTAGCATGTATTTCATAATGTAAATATGAGTGTTTGATCCAATCCACTCAAATGTGAAGTTTCATCTACGGGAAGCCACGCAAAGACAAGACGGTGCCAGAGCAGAAGTCTTTGGCGCTGCATTTCAATTTGAAGGGTTTCCCCTTTCAAAAACTCACCTCATCAAAAGCACAAGTGTTGAAGAATAGGTTCTGCACAGAATGCAGGGTCGGTATTCTTCCATCAGTCCAAAGAAGGCCGTTTACCTGTTCAGGGGGTCGCTTGCAGTCTACCCATGCGCTTGTCCAAGACCATTTATGTCTTTAGGTATATACTAATACAAATGCCGTGGGGAATGGATGGACAGGCGGGATCACATCCCCCTCAAACATGTCAACTAATTGCTGCACATCTGTTGGAGGACCGCTCATTTTTTGGGGGGACCTGCCGTTAGCAGGTCGCGCAGTTTCTTCGTCCACTCTAGGCTTTGGACACGGGATGTCGGATGTCGGTCGATGATGGCCCGTTGACCTATCATTGGAGGGATGCTTCTGTGCACGATCGTTGCAGTTCACAGATCCAGTGTTGCAAGCAATCCAGATGCCACAACGAAAATCAGAAAACCATACCAAATCCCATTCAACTGGTTTCAATTTGCGGAAGGATTTGGCATGTAGAACAGTACCTCCACAGTACCGAGTACCGGATTGCCACAGTCCCAGATGGCAGTGTTTCGGATGCTTTTTGGGGTGCCTTTTCGGGGTCTTCTTGGGTCAACGGTCGTTGAGGTGCCTGTCTCTTCAACAACAGGACCTGGATGGCCGTCTCTCTCTCTCTCTCTCTCCGATCTTCTGGTACCGTCACGGTACGCTCGCTCCACGGGCGCGACGGTTGCGCATCCAGTTGCGCATCCCAGGTGAAGTACTTTGCCTCAAAGGCGACCCAGAAATGACCGGACACCGGCCATCGGTGAGGGATGGCGGGATGGAAGGATGGAGGAGGCAATTTTTGGGAGGGTTTGCGCCACAAAGCGGATCTCTGTGTTTTGCGGGCTTTAGTGTGGCTTGCTAACTATATAGCTAGCTGCTTTGGTATGGCTTTCTCGACTCCACAGATCTCCCGGCAGCCGGCATGAGATGAGCTGCATGCTGCAGTTTGGGTAAGCTCTGCACAGCCACGGGGCGCGCGATCGGCGCAGAGTGTGCTCCACTGCAACCCTCCGACTTGGGACTCCATTAGGGCATAGGGCTTTGGCCTTTGAACACCCACTTGTGGTGTTCTCTTGCTGCACTGGGTGGTTTTGTTGCCCTTTAGAGTCTCATGCCAGGCCCTAGATTCTCTAGATGACCCGAACATGGTCCACATTTGGGTCATCAAGGCCCCCCCCCAAAAAAACACGTGCGTTTCAGCGGTCTGTATGAATGTGTTTTTTGCTGGATGCTGAAGGTCTTCCGGATAGTACCCAGTCGCTCCCGGTCGGCTCGGCTCGCCCAGGGTGATGAAGCGCCCACGCGTTTGAGCCTGGAGCAGGCGGTGTCCGGAGCCGTTCCGTAGACACGTCCAAGTCGTGCCCATCCCAAAAACTTATGAAAAAGGAACGGGCATCAGCATTAGGCAACCACAATGTTTAGCTGAATTTTAGCAGAGAAGTGACGTGGGGAGAGGTGGAGCCAGACAAAAGGTGTGTCACGGATCCCTTTACCCACTTCAAACAATTTCGGAGTTGGATGTTACCAACATGTCCAGATTCCAGAGTCTGCAGAGCTGATTTAAATATCACCTGGAGGCGACGACCGGAGACTCTTCGACAGGCCCAGAAGCTGTGGCAGAAACATGGCGTGGCCCCTGACGGCATGAAAATCTTGGCAGAGGAGCGAGGAGCCCAAGGGAGGGCAGCAATTTGGAGAATTTGTGGGGCTGTCGGAGATTTGCGAGTTCCAGAGGTTGCCGCCAGGGCTTTGTGGAGGGGAGGGTGGTTTATATTGCACTCACCTGTGTCTTGCAAGCATCCCTTAAAGACCTTGGGTTCCATGTGGCGCCAGAATCCCAGCACCGCGTCACTCTCGCCAAACTTAGCCAAATTAGGGAGAGGGCAGGACAGCGGAGTTTGATGCGTTCCCTTCTTCTCAGGAATAATCCTTTAGGCCTCTATAGGCTGTTGAAAGGGGCTCACCCAAATCCACAATATGATTTGGCTCAGCCAAATCATCGTTTTCACGACCAGTGTTGGCCCCCCTGATATAAAATCACTAAGGAAACCGTTCGTCGCCCTTCGTCGCAGGGAACACCCCGGATGCCCATGCCCCCTCCGGTCGCCCGAGGTTCGGCGACACGAGGCTGGTGTCGAAGTCGAACTCGAAGGCGGCCCGACACACGAAGGGTCGACCTGGGTGGACGGGAAGGGGCCGAAGGGGCCATCTTGGGCCGGTCTGAGACATGACCGGAGTTGATGGGGCGGCTGGAGGGCCAGAAAGGGACCCCAACATGTGTATAATTATAGGTGGAAGATGTTGCAAGACAAGGTTCCAACCACATCCCTCAAGTTGGTCGAAAGGGCTTGCGGGTTACTTTTGAGACCCATCTATAGAGGGTGTTGGTGTGCGTCTCGTGTGCGTATCACACAGGGCTGGCTTTCGGTGTGCTGTGAATGAGGGACCTGGTGGTGGATGCAGTCTATGTGTCATCGCTTCCTGGGATTAAGAGGCCAGGTTACTTCTTTGAGTCCATACGCAATACAGAAGCCGATTGATAGGCGGAGAATATGTAGAAGGGTTTCGGAACACTAATGGTACTGTAGATGAACTCAACCCTCCGAAGAATTCCTGGAAAACCTGCCACCGTCAGATGGAAGGACAGAAAGGGGGCCACAAAGACACCCCTTTCTTTTGGAAGAAACTCAGACTCACCGATTGAAGTTTGCTGGATTTTGCTGGGAGTTTCATTGGGTACTGAGTGGTGCTCTCCGACAGTAGAACGTGGCAGCGGTAGTTTCATGTTGACTGTTGATCCATTACACTTCCTGGCTTGAAACACATCATGAGTGGATGGCATGATGGCACCTCCTGTTTATTCGGATTTCATGGCCATCCAACGGCCATGAAATCCACTTCCAATGATTCATGTCAAGGAGTGTACCCCACCCTCGAGAGAGATGCGTCCAACCTGTCCGGGGCCCTCCGGCCATCCACGGCCTAGGTCCGTCAAGAACTCATCAAGGACGGCCAACGAGGGGGGGCTGGGCCGGGGCCGTCGTCCTTGTGATCGGGCTGTGACAGGTCGTGCCGCTGGGCTCATGGATCCGACCTAGGATGGGCTCAGAGTTGACAGTTGACAGCTGAAGAACTTGTCCTGCAGCAAGAACATCTCACCTTTTGCAACATATCTCACGTTTTGCATGCCATCCATTCAAGCACTTCTTGCTACTTGTCAAAAACCTGCCATCGTGGTGTTTCCACACCCCGAGAGCCTGCCTGCCATCACGAGGCCCGAGGTGCCAAAACCTGTCGTCCGACGGCCGCTACGGCTAGACTAGAGGCTACAACCCTCTCAACTCAACAATCGGCCTCATACTTTCTCATGGTGCGCCCAAGAGCTCCTAGTAGGCCCTAGTCATGTTATATAGCCATATGCTGTTTGTCAAGGATCGCTTCTGGATGTAAGTTTGAATGCAGGAGCACAGCACGCCTTTGAAATCTCCAGTCAAAAAGGGCAGTTCCTCATGGTGCATAGCTTCTTTGTACACTCGCTAAGGCCACGTGTCCATCATTGACACTTTAAATATTTTAAATATTTTTTAACGACAACGACTCTTTTTACGATGGAGAGATTGCATTTGTTACAACGCGGTCAGTAGTGTAAGTCATATCATGAGATGTGCTCATTAAGTTCCAGCCCTGATGATTGTTCTTTCCGACCGCAAACCCCTCTGCTATGTTTACGAGGAGGGCGGCTATTTCCCCACCGACCTAAACTGCGGCAGCAGCACCGGCCCCTTGTCGTGAGTTAACATGAGATTGAGCTTCATGTGACATCAACCTTGGCCACCCATCAGCGTGTTCATTAAATTTTTCTCTGTGATTCAACTATATAGTCCTCCTAGTCCTACGCCGATCCAGTTGCACTGGCTCGCTGGCTTCTTTCTCCTGCATGTAAGGTTGAAGTGTAGGCGACTTGTGGTAGAACTTGAGAAGACGGTGCCCAAAGAGATCTTGAACTAATTTATTATTCTATTGGGTTCATTGTCCTCCTCACATCTCCTAGCGTTTGGAGTTACGCTTGCGTAATAAATGCCGCAAAAATCCAGTCCGGCTGGGCCGGTAATGTTAGTGAGTTTTGGATCTGGGTCCTGACCCACCGGTCAGAACATTGGCCTGTGCATTTAGCTCCAAGATGTTTCCTAGCGTTCATTGGGATCAGTCAGCCTCAACAAGTTTGATACCTCCCCACCCAAGAGTACCAGTACTTCTAAGTTAAAGTCCTGCATGTTCCCATGTTGTATATCACTATGAGTTCTATGATCTTCTCCTTCCTTCAATCCTATGTTGGTCGCCGAGGTGGCTCCAAGGCGTCCGAGGAGACCGTGATGCGGAAGGCCTTCCCTCCTGCAAAGACCACTGTTGATGGGACGAGGGATGACGAGGGTGGTTCTAGCAAAGGAACGTAAATGAACAACACTGCGCTGTACAGTACAGGAACATTGTCTGCCAGGGGTGCTGCCAGGCAGAATGAATCCCGGCCACTCTATGTTTCACACACACGCACACGTCAAGGGTCCCCACAAACTTTCCATGATATATAACATATATATATAATATATATATATATTATCCGGCACCAGGGTCTTCAACCGCAAAACCGACGATCAGTTCCTTTGTCTAAGAGTCTAACGCCTTGACTCTTAGTGCCCTGGAGAAGCTTCAGATTTTGGGGTCCTTTGATTCGATCGGATCTCCTGGGACTATCACCCACACGGCTGGGACTCATGCTTGATGGACTGTGGCGATGGCTACAGCGGCCCTGTTGAGAAGCTCCATTGTCAAGGTCGATGTCAATGACCAGTGGAAGTTTCACAGCAGGTCTATGGAAGTTGTGTTTGATCCCTGCGGCATTCCGCAAAATCCCAGTGGAAATAGGTTGCTTCCCTCCCCACATTTTCCATCTACTGTTCATCCTTTGTCCCGATGTCATGGCCCGTTCCAAGTTCACGTTTTGCGAGGCGTTGATAACCTCGAGTAGCGGAGGCGTTGCCAATGGGCGAGGTGGTTCTGTTGGGAGGATGATTATGGATTGCTGTTGTTTTGTGACGGGTGCTCGAAAGGCGTCAATTCATCATAGGGGGTAGGGTAGAGTTTCACCATGTGTGGATTTGATAACAACTGATATATAATCCATTCCGGGGCATGGGGAGGGCCCAGCGAGAGTGGAACCCTGTTTCCGAAACGTTGAGTCCCCGCTATTGAAAATACGGGGTTCCTGAAAGCTTGGTTGCAACATGTATTTATGGCACAAGGTAGCTGACACAGTAGACCACCATTAGCAAAGGGTCTGAGCCGATTCCAGCTAGGCCCGCTCATCTCACATTATGGTTCAGCTGTATCAACGGCTTTGATGGCGTTGATACGTAGCAGCATCTAGTAAGCTCAGCATGTTGGAGGCCCAAGCAACCTGCTTACGGCAGTTTCACTATTCATTCCAAGGAGCCCAATGGGGATTACACTTTGACTCACAAATGTACTCCAGACTTTCCTCGAAGAATCTAGATATCGTTTTTGTTCCCAGTTCCATGTCAGTGAGTCAAAGTGTTTGCTGCCTTCTTCTAGGTCCCTGACCTTGCACATACCAGACCGTGCAAAGTATAGTGTAGTTACCGCTGAAACGAGGACTTGTCCCGCCAAAGCAAAGGTGTCACTCCAACCCACCTTTGGGCAAGAGAGGCTACTAGGGGCTCCTGGCATCGCTACTAGGAGCAAGAAGCTACTAGGGGCTCCTGGCATCGCTACTAGGAGCAAGGACGCTACTAAGAGCTCCTTTGGGCAAGAAAGGCTAAACGCCGCTCGCACTGCGTCGCCACTGGGTCGCGTGGCGGCCAGGGGAGCCTTTGCTCCACACCCAGAAGTCCGGAAAGTCCTTCCGGCGCGTAGCGAGCGCACAGTGAACGCGTCTTAGTAGAGCCAGTGGCTGGCCTTTTCGAGGTCCAGGACGCCATGGGAGCCTGAAAGGACCATGTGGGGTGTGCAAGATGAGCCTCAACCTGAGCCAGCTAAGTTAATATATATATATATATACTGTGTATATATATATATATATACTGTAGTTGGTTGGTACCTTTATGTTCCTTCAGTTTTGCTGGACTCGAGCATTTTCAGGTAAAACAACTGGGTGTCCACTGCCAGCCAATTCCGCTTGGTGGCCACTAGGCACTCCAATAGGCATGTTGCCAAAGACGGGGACCCCAGGCGAGTCGACCCTACTGGCCTCCCCTGCGAGTTGTCCCTGCCACCGTGATCGAAGACGCCCAAAGACCGGGATCTCATGGTATTCACGTGCGAGCCACGTGGCTGCACAACTTTTTCAGAAGCAACACCTGACAACCCAGGTGCCACCAATATGGTCCTAGGGTGTCGATTGATGGTTCATTCATGTGCATTCCAGTCAAGTAAAGTGGATGCCATGTTCTTCAAGTACGTCCTGAGATTCAATGGTGCTCACAGTGGTCCAAAGACCTTCTTCGGAGGCCGTCACACATGGTGCAGAAATACTGCTTACCTGTGGAAGCTCACCAAATACATACATTTATTCAACAACCACCGGACTGAGGGAATCTCAACATGATATTGACAGGTTGGATCGATTCTCCTGCCCGCCACCATGGTAACGGTGTTTTGGACCACTGTATGTGTCCCCATGTGTCCTCCATCATGTCAGTTCTTCTACTGCGCCAAGGGAAGACTACCCGTGAAACATCGTGAAACGGTGCCTGGACCACGCGATTGGCAAGTCTTAAGGGCACAGCCTGGTGATGAAATGCCATGCTGGAAGCAAAAAATGCGCCAGTCAGGTCCTCACTGAAAGGGTTGCAGAAAGCTCTGCATGTAGGCATCAAGCACCGAGTCCTACGGTTGCCATCCAAGAAGTCCGCAAACGCCCCCGGCCGTGACAAAGGTCTTCCGGACCTATGTTCCACTTCCGTGATGGTTTCAGGGAGTGTGGCCTTATCAACTTAACCCCTAATCCATTCCGTCTTGGTCCCCTAGCGGGGAGGATGCACCAACTCCTAGGTCCAAGTTCATCTATATTAAAAACATATATTGCAATGATGTGCCCCTCCAAAATAGAAATCCCCCTCACCACATCCCACCACCATGTTTGATTGGTCACTTGCCCCTCACTGCCAAGTCTTCAACCCCAACTTGGTGCGGCAGCCACTGCAGTCCGGGACGGCTGGGTCTCGTCCTGGACGCACCGTCACCGCCCGCAGAACGGGCCTCTTACCTGAGCCCTACGGCCGCCTGTGCCGAGAACTCTGGAAGGAGAGAGCGAGCGGAGAAGCGATGGAGAAACCGCGAAGTACTAGGCTACAAAACGGGCCTGGCTCCATGGTCCAGTGGATATATAACATGGATTGCAAGTCAGACCTGTGACATTCAGTCCAGCTGCAGACGACCCGAGCGAGGACTGCGATCTGATCCGCAGCGACGAACACCATGGCAACCAGGCCGCAGAACTCTCACCATCGGATGAGGTCACGAATGAGTGTTGCACTGCAGGTCTTGAAGGTTAACCAGCACTGCTGGTTGGTCTGGTGGTCTGACGTTTTTCACGTGACATCGTAAATGAAGGAGAGCTGGTCGTTTAGAAGTATGGCTTTGAGGCCAGCTCTGTACAAGAGCGCTTTGTAACCATCTTGAACCAGGCACACGGCATCATGGCATCATGGGACAATCCAAGCAGCCAGTGTTTGTTTGATGTGTGTTCCTCCTTCTTGATGTTGCTGAGGATGATGAGGTTTGTCAATGATTCCTTCAAGCTTTCTCACTGGAACTTACCGCTGGCACCAAGATACACAAAGGGACTCTATTCCTGAATTGCTTTGCACCAATTTTTTGAATCAGAGCTTTGTTTATGGCATGTGGGTCCTTTGTGAGACATTTTCGTACAATACACGCTTTGCCATTGGGATTGCGCACGATTGCGCAGGAAACCACCAGACCGTTCGCAGGCCTCTCCCGCCGTGAAGTGTAACATGGCTTGCTTGGCCATGGGCCTGTTTTTTTTTTTTTTTTTTTTTTTTTTCGGGCAGGTCTATTGCACTGTGGAGCAAGGCACTCTGGAGGCGTATCGAGCGACCTTTTTTCTTTCCGCGCGCCGCACTGCGGGAATCTGCGAGTTCGAGCCAAGACCACAGCAGCTTGTTCCGAAATAGCTATGCAACCGAAATCCCCACAAGCAGATTGGAATCAAGGCCAGACATCGCCAGACGATGTACCGTTATTTTAAACCCCGACTTTCTGACAGGTGGTGAGGGCCAGCGCCTTAGCATCGGGAATCCTATGGAATCCTCTATTGATAGGAGTTCTTGGTGTGCAACATGTGGCCGTGGATCAGTGCGTGACCCCCCATTCAAAGAGAATAACTTTTTGTTGGATGTCAATGGTTTTGCTGCACTTCAGTGTTCTAGCATTTTGCCATTGATGGTGCTGGAACAAGGATTTGCAGTTATTGCGGTCTAGTACATGCAAGTGGACAGCTCCAGTGCTTTAGTAGCAACTGGCTGGAAAGGTTCGGGTCATCAACAGGTGTAGCGTGCCAAATCGTCCCAACAGCAGCCAAGGCAATGAAGGAGGCCATGGCAGCGGCAGATGGTTCGCCGACGTTCGGCAGCACTGAGCGTACGAATGCGACCCACCTGACCTGACCTTGTTTCTTGTGGAAGATTCGCGGGGGATTTCAGACCCAGGCCACTTAATCTGGAAGTGGATGACACCACCTGTTTGTGGAGGAAAGGGTCATCCAAGTTCCCAACGGATCATTTTCATCAATGTTCCAATGTTCCACCTCTATGATGGTTTCAGGGAGTATTTAAGATCCAGTGCTCAAACCGGGTTGCCCAGCAAATTCTTCATAGATCTTCATAGTGACGATTTATATATTAATACAGTACCCGTTTTGAGTCCTTTTGTCCCCCCTCCAGCGGTCTTCTTCCACCGATTGTATGTTTGCCAAGCTCCCAACACCAACAACCACACCAACCTAGCTTGAACAAGGACCTCTCAAGGACCTTTGCACAACCTCGAGGGTTCCATGTTGATCTTCCCAAAAATGCCTTTCAGTTCGGTTGAGTTCCCCTAGCTCGCTCAAAATTCTCGTTGATACAAAGAGATCCTCCGGGAAGTCCATCGAAACCACCGAAACATCGAAACACACTGACACGAAGCAAGACAGAACGATCGGAGTTCTTCATATTTTGGGACGCGCTTTGAGAAGCTTGAGGCATGAACTTCACCGTTCGCTCGAACCGAGGAAGTTCTTCGTGGTGACTTTGCCGGCGGGGGCTTTGCGCCGAAAGAGGGTCCAAGACTAGTAGGTCTCAAGTAAAGTGCATTCAAATGATTACACATGCACGTTCAAAGGGGGGGTACTTGTTTGTGGTTGATTTCTGAGATTGCGATTGGCGAATCCAAGTAATAGAGCCTTTCCAGTGCATGCTCGGTATGAAACAAACATCACACGATGATTTCCTCATCCACTCGGCATGATGACCAGCGGATCTGTGCTGGGATGATCCGAGCAAGGCAGATGATCCCATGGAGATGTGTGCACGAGGGAAGCACGTGCCTAGGCCTTTTTGGCACTGTTTTGGGCGCCTAGGGGATGTACCCGGGCGCTGGCCATCGGGTTTTTTCCTTCTTCCACCACGGCTTGGAGTGTATTACTTGAGACGCTTTGAGGCGAGCGAAGACCGTTTGGCCCCACAAAAAGTCGCTGCCGAGGTCCCGAAAGCGGACGGGGTCAAGCGCACTTGGAGCCCCTGCTCCGAAACAAGGAGGTGCACCAGGTCAGTAAACCCCCTCGGTTTGGTGCCATGACCCACTGCCATTGTCCCCTGCACTGTGGCATCCTTTCACACCGCATTCAGCCCGTGGAGCTGCTCGACTCGGCGCCCAGGTCTTACAGACGCCCGGGCGCCGAGTCGACGCCGCGGCGGGAACGCGGCGCCCAGTGCACTTACTCGCCCCATCACGATCGACCTGGTTCAAGTGCAGATGGTCATGATGTCATGTGCCGAGGTAGGGCACATGTAAAGATGGTCAAGCAGGCGAAGTGCCTCCACCCTTTGGGCCTGGTGAGGTTATCCTCACCTGCACGATTCGTGAGGTTTGGCCCCTGGGCGCCTTATTGCGGCTTCCAGCTGCTCGGATTGATGCTGTGACCTTCATGTGAGATGCCCTTTTCGGATATTGATATAGATTCGAAGGTAAAAGTACCGAATACCGGGTTACCGACCCCCATCTACACACAGAGTACCAATGGCGGACACATGGCCTTTCAACATTAAAACTCAGATGGCACGAAGGCGGTTAGTTTCGTCCATCCTTCTTTTTTTTGGCCAAACTTGCGACATGTAAGAGACATATTTTTTTGTTTGGATTTTCCTTGGCCAGTTGTCTTACCGTTAGACCCCGTTTCTCCACCGGACGACTAAGTCACTTGGTCGGCCCTAGACTTGAGGCAGAAGTTGGGGGGCGTTGTAGGCACAAGGTTCGACAGATTCCGAACACAGATGGTTTTGGGAGGAATGGTGTTTACATGTGTTTTCAACTCCACTAGCAGTGAAGAGGCAAGAAAACCTTCGGAGCACTAAGACGAGAAGAGACACCCACTTAGTTCACCGGCATTCAATATTCGATAGTATCAGTTTGTGTTTTGGGGTGTTGGTTGGATTCTCAAGTTCTCAGTATGGAACTGAGTGTGGCTGGGGCTGTCTCAGTTTGTGGATTGGTGCATGTTGGAGTATTGGGGTCCATGGCACCAAAGTGTGGCAAATTAATGTTCGCTCAGCAGAATTTCCAAAGCAAAAGCAATGAAGATATAGTAATATGAAGGGTTGTCATAGCAGAAAGCAACATGCAAATGTGCAGGCAATGTTGCCAACAA